GGGAGACTGAGGACGGCTCATCATCTGGCCAGTGAGTTTCGGTGTCCCTTGATATTACCTCAGAAGCATCGGGTGACGGAATTGATCATTGCGGAAGAAGATCGGCAATGCTCACACTCGATTGGTACCAACCACCTGCTATCGAAGCTAGCTGACAAGTTCTGGATCGTAAAGGGGAGACAGACGGTAAAGCGGTATCGTCAGGCCTGTGTCGGCTGTAAACGTTTGTGGAACAAGCCGTACTCACCAGCGATGGGTCCGCTACCCAATTTCAGAACCGAAGGTCAGCTACTCGCCTTCTCACGTACAGCAGTCGACTTTGCTGGGCCGTTTTACGTAAAACGTGGCCGCGGACGTGTCCAGGAAAAGCGGTATGCAGCGATCTTCACATGCCTGCAAACCAGGGCTTGCCATTTCGAGGTAGTGTACTCCTTAGACACGGACGGTTTTAAAATGGCCCTGGTACGCTTCACCAAGCGCCGTGGAACCCCAACCATGATCCTCTCAGATAATGGGACGAATTTCGTCGGGACAGAGCGGGAGTTGCGTGAAGCTGTACAGAGTCTTGGTACTGGTGATGTCTCAGCAGCGTTGGCAGCCCAAGGGACACAGTGGGTTTTTAACCCCCCGAGGGCGCCTCACACTGGTGGTGTGTTTGAGCGGGTCGTTCGCTCATTGAAACAAGTACTGCAGACAGTCTTGTATAAAGCGGATCTTACCGATGAGGAACTGCATACTGCTCTTGTTCAGGCGGAAGGGTTACTCAACTCTAGGCCACTAACTGCGGTTTCTACTGATGCCGCGGACCCTCAGCCATTGACGCCTCACCATTTTCTGGTGGGACACGCTCGGGTCACGAGTCCACTGGAGGAACAGGCAGAGTTGGCTGAGCGAGCTCATCCTCATCGGCGTTTCGACATCATCCAGCATTTACTGAAGGTAGTTTGGAGGCGCTGGAAGAGAGAGGTTGTCTCACGGTTGAACCTGACTACCAAGTGGCAACGTGCTCAGAGGTCAGCTCAGGTTGGAGATGTTCTGCTATGCCTCGACGACCATCTTCCACGAGCAAAGTGGCCATTGGGAAGAGTGGAAGCCGTCTACCCAGGCAAGGACGGAGCGACACGTGTGGTGGATGTCAACATCCGGGGAAAAGTCTACCGTCGGCATGTTCGCTACCTTGTGCCTCTGGAAGTGGAGCCGTCGAGTGACCGAGTTAACAGCTTGGAGTCGGTCGTGAAGATGCGTGACCTGTGAAGTGAAACTCATCGCCCCGAGCCAAGTACTGAGTAACTGATTCTAATACCGAAGACGTTGGCTGATCAGTGATAATGAAATAAAATATCTGCTAGCCATATTTCATGCTGTGTGGTACTGTTAGAGCTATGGGTGATAGGAATCATGTTATGCGTGTTACAGCACGAGTGGGTTGCAAAGGTCTTCGATAGTTTCGGTGCTGATGAGCTAGTTCTATCGGAGGAAGTACACATTATGCTCTTTTGTTTTTCCTGGCAAGATGCTGGTGTGGCATATGCTTGTTTTTGCCTTTTGTTTTTCGTTGTTTTTGTTTTTTTTGCTCTTCTGGGTGTATGTAGTTTTCGCTCCCCTGCTATTTGCATGTTTGCTCAAGGGGGAGGAATGTTGTGTATAGACTATCTGTTGTGTTTCATTGGTCTGTGTGGCCGAGTGACTCCCGCTTCTCATTCATGATGTTTGGCCTGTTCTCATCTCAAGTGTAGCTACCCCTTTGCTGTGCGGTTTTATTGGTGATTGTAATATCATGCACGTGCCTGCTCTTTTCAGTTTCCCGCCGTTGTAGGCAGCGCATGCGTAACAGCTGATTTACATTTTTTGCTGTGACTTTTTGTAGGACAGGAAAGCTCTTGTGCTGGTTTTTGGTTGGAACAAGAAGAAGTTTTTGTCTATGTTGAATATTTGTGCGCTCCTTTGATCTTGTGAGAGTTGGGTCATTTTGGGCCAAGCACGCAATTCGAAACATGATCTTTTAGCTAGGGAGTATGGGGGACTACGGAACACGGGCTGCTTGCTTGTCGAAAGTGACATTTATGAGATTGTGGATGTCCAATTGAGTCTGGCAACCGGAGGCGGCAAACAACACAGCCTGAATGGCTGGCGCTAAATCGGGAGAGAGGTGTGTTTATAGCGCGGAGACGGGACTGTTCCCTCTACATCCCTTTACCTAATGCAGTAATGGAGATAAGTAACAACTGGTAAGGACTGCGTCTCGACTAACACTAACAGCGCACACCATACTAATGTATTATACTGTAGGTGTGAATCGCGCACTGCACTTGTAGAAACGATGCCCATGGTTGTCTCCAACGCTTCCCGTTGACCTCGCCTACTCGAAGTTAGTTGGGAATTATCCCTCCAGATCTTGCACTTAAATCTTTCCGACAAACATCACAAATGCAACGAAAGCGGCTTTAAAATTAACCTTTAACCCAGACTTGCCTATGTAAGTACATGTACACAGAAGGGCGAAGGCAATACATGTATTGGCAGGAGCTCACACAAAGTTGCAATGCCTGTGGGGGCAGACCCAGCTCGGCCGACAGACTGTCTCGGCGTGCATCAATCAGTGCCAGACTTATTCGGCAATGCTGTTGTTTATGTTCGTGCATTCTGTGTTCTGTCAACGTATCCGGGACAAGAACTCCGCGCCTGGGATGTGACACCTGCATGATCGCTTGTCAATGGTACATGATTGTCCCTCATTGACATTGAATAGAAAATACTAGTTTTGAGTAAACTACTGAGTGAAAGAGAGAGAGAGAGAGAGAGAGAGAGAGAGAGAGAGAGAAAGAAAAGAGGTGGAGCGGCATGGACTGGTGAATAGCCGTAATCTGTGTTTGTGCACACGCATGCATTGTATTCCTCTCATGACAAGAATGCGAACCTACATGTACATGACATTGTACATGTAGGTTGAAATTCACAGTTCCCTTCTTTAACTTGAAAGTTCTTCTTTTACAAGAGAACTGCATAATAGAACGGCTAAGTTTCAATTCAACTGCAAAGGCGTTCACTGATATACCTTGTTTTCCTCTCTGCTCACTTCAGTGCACATCGATTCAAATGCCCTTGAAGCGTAGGGGTACACGACTTCCTTCACAGTCGTCCTATTCTTCGTGTTACTTCTCCTTCTCTGCTCACCCTGCATCCTCATATTCTCATCCTAACTGTATAGAAATGGAGCCCCCTTCGATAGGTCTAAACGGCCTCTGGGGAATCCTTGAAATTATACAAATCACAAGCAGGTCGTGGATTTCTCGCTAGACCGCTAACCCCTAATGCCCTATTACCGGCGGTATATGCTAAACACGTGACGAACGCAGCTAAGCCTCCGCTTTGCACACTGTGGACCATTTCACCCCTCCCCCCTCCCCGCCTAACATGAACACTCTTTCCTCGTAGATCTGCTCGTAGACTGATCAACTCGTATACGCGTAGAGCACCATGACTGGGCAATATGCAATTTTCCATAAGGCTCAGTGGCACCAGGGAGCAGGTGGATAATGCATGTAATACGGTGATGATCAGGTGAATTGTAGTAGCTAAAAGTAAAACAAGTGGATTTCCCCCCAACCTGCCCAGGCATGTGCACAGACCACTGCCTATCGGATGGAACAACGCACCACGAGATCGAAGTGAGTAAGCCGCTATCGTCGTAAACTGAGATCAAACCTTCCTGGACAAGTCCGATGACAACTCCCCGTGGCTTCACGCGCATTCCGTTCAAAAAGGTTTCAAGCGACGGACAACTCCAGCAGCTCTGTCACACAGCTACAGGTACCATGCTCGTAGACTAGACTGCGTTGCATGTGATTCCGCTACCCCCCCCCCCCCCACTAACTAATTACTTGGGTCCGCCAGGTGATTCATAAGAATTACGGATCATTGACCTTTGCCTTTGGGCTTCTCTTGTTTTGGAGACGGCATCGCAACACCTTCCGGGACCAAGTACTGTACTGTACTACTACAATCATGTAGTAACAGGCAGGTGTTACGCATGTGCTATGTAAGTCGTCTGCAGAATGTTCACGGATGCTAACGATGCCTATAAATTATACAATCATCATGTACATGTCTACGTCTGTGCTTGTATCATGACGCCATTGACATTGTGGGGTTTGTCTGGTGTCTCGCGTCCTTCCTCGACCTACCGCATGCGTGTCTAGTTGGACAAACAGACATACCGTGTATCTAGTGAGAAGACAGCGGCACAGCCATATAACACATTAACACGCACAGTTTACCTGTAGAGTTTAGAAGTCTCGACGGCAAAGGGATAAGTAGTTAGTTGAATGCTGTAGAGAGTCAGATTGGCACACGATACACGTCTCTGACGATCCTGGACATCATGGTAATACTAGTGCAAGCAGAACATGCATGTAAACATGTGCACCTACCCGTACTGTTTGTACTGTTTGTACTGCTTGTACTGCACAGTGTGCTAGCAAGAGCAGGTCTACAGCAGCAATGTGTGTACTCTTCTGACATAAACATGATGTAACGTTATAAACATAGTCATCGTGTACTCTTGGTTCTAAGCTGTCGCCGACTACAGAGTGGAGTACAGCAGTAGTTTTATCACTTCCTGCTTATAAGTACACTGCACATCATTATGTACATACAATGACTTGTAATTGTATGCGATAGCTGAGAGGTCACGCAAGTAATCCCCGTGCCAGATTTACCCCCACATTCACATTCACAGCCATCCGGATGCAGGACACTTACATTTATAGCACGCTAGGGCGTTACTAAACAGCTTTCTAAAAATTAATGATTACTAGTACTGTAGTGTAGTGTAGTACTCTCTACTCTCTAGTAGAGTACTAGTCAGAGTAGCATAGAGTATGTCATTGTCATTGTCAGGCACCTCTACTCGGCGTACTCTCTCTCTGCTAGTGCTTGTGTCCTGTGACTCCTGTCCTCTGTGATATGACAGCAGTACTCAGCATAACCATTATTAACCTGATTCCAGCTCTTGTCTCTCCTTTTCTGTGATTCACGGACAGGGCAGTAATCTGACAGCTACGCGCAGATGGCAAGGGGCCAACTTTTCAATCCCAAGCTTTTGTCGGCGATATTGCCTTCATTATTGTAGTATTGTTTGCTGATATTCATATCCTCCAGGTACAGTGCACAGTGTACAGTGTATGTGTCACTGAGCCTGAGGTAGGCTGAGGTAGGTACGTGGTTCACATCACATCGCCCCTCAGCCACGTCCACGCACCGCTAGCCCCGGCCTCATTGGAGCTGCAGTCAGTAGAGTGGCTATCACGTCGTTGGACTTGGTAATCGTAGGACCTTGGCCTAGGCCTAGGCCATGGAAGCTGCTTTACTGTACATGTGTGAATCCGAGGATCCGTTCGGTTCCGAGGAATCTCCAGGAACTACTGCACTGGATTGAGTGGCAGCACATCACACATCAGTGGGGTATTGTACTACTCCCTGGTTCTGATGTCTTCTTACACCGCTCCCAGTGGAGCACAGCCATGCTATTCCGCTTTTACTGCATGCGATTGTGATCCGGGAGATGCCATTCCAAGCGAACAGGCTGTAGAGTGTAGGCAATGACAGTACACGTTGCAGGTTCGTATGCGGAGTTATAAAAACCGTGAACATTGTCATTGCCTCAGCAGTCCTGTCACAACCCAGTGTTTTTCTTTTCACACAGTTCCATCGTTGCACAAAGAGGCTTCATTTTTTTGTATATCTGGTACAAGTGGGGCACATAACATTTTCAATGATGTCCTGCCCTCTTGCAAAAATAGAGGAGGCTAGCCCATTGTCGCTGCGCCACGACGAAACTAACGATGTTCAAGCAGTTCGGCGCTTCCTGCAACTCCTGGAACGAAACGCAGAGCCAACGCGGAGAGCGCTCAACGCGTGCCTGTTCCTGTACGCCATGTGCATAACGCTGGCTTTCGCACTGCTGGCCAGTTACGTGGTGTTGGGGCAGAACACAAACAGCCAGCTGCTTTGGTCGCAGTCCGAATTATCACCTTCCGCTTCAGTAAGTTCCGACAGCTTTCCGCCGTAGAGTGTGGCATCATGTCAGGAGAATATATGCCCGCCCTCTCTGTGCGGTGTTGTGAACATTCCGTAGTAGTAGGTTGCAACGCTGGACTGGTATTCTTCTGTAAAGTGTTTATGATCATGGTTATAGTTATGGCTGTTCTGAAGTCGTGGTGGGCTAATCTGGTCCTGTCCAAGTGACTGTCGATCTTCTCCTTTTGATGTTGACCCACTCACTGCAGATCTACAGGGTTGGTAGACCTTCTAGCCAAGTAGATCTACATGGCGGGTAAACACATGGTAACTCCCCTGTTCCAGACGGTAGAGGGTAGAGAGTGTGCTGTAGGACCATGATGACTATGAGTCATGCGCTGAATGTGATTGTTCGTGCCCAGAACACGTTTCAGCGAGATGTGACTGATGTGTGTACGCCTGGTGGTGTTTTCGGCATCACCTGCTGGTGATGTTTTCGGAACCCTGCTGCATGCATGGCAAGGCCATTGTTGCTTGGTAGAGGGTCTAACCTTACTATCGGCCACTGCCATCTAGCAACTAACCTTTACTTTACTTACTTGCCGACACCAAAATTAAACTTACTTGCTCTTCCGGCCACCAGTCTGTGACATGCACGATGTAAGTACTGTAGTAGAGAGCAAGCTACGTAAGTCTGGATCCTGCCCAGAACAATCTCCGCAGAGTCGCGGTTGCTGCGGAGAAGAAGCGACGCTTCAGCTTGAGACGGACATAACACATTCACCCAGTCTCTGCCGTCTTCTAGATTTATTCACTGTGACTGCTGGATAGTGGTGATACTTGCAGTATCTTTCTATCCTTTTCTTCTGTATTGTTAGTTTGTTACTATTGTATCTCTCTTGGCATAGGCTCAGCTAGAACCTCTCGTCACCGCGCTAAATTTGATCGGAATGAGGCAGCAGACTGACGTTTCTCCTCCGGAAATACCCATCAGCAACGACGTGCAAGGCTCTGATCGCAGTTCAAGAAGCAAGCGACGTAAGAATACGACAAAATGCTATTAGTTTTCACCGAGTCGTGCGCAGGGCTAGGCTAGGCCTAGGGTCGTGCTCGAGAGAAAAGACTATACGGGTGAAAGAGAATGCCCAGCCGGGGGATAGGGGACATGAGGAGGCCCTGAAGGACAGGTAACGGCTGTTGTGCGTAGTCTTAGATCTACTACTACTACTACTACTACTACTAGCACAGTGTAGTGCAGTGTAGTGCAGTGTAGTACAGTGTAGTGCAGTGTTGACTGCCCATCACAATCACTGTGAAGCTCATTTGAGTCATGTACTAGTAGATAATTCGTGTCCGGAATCGAAGTACACAGTGTATGTTTGTAGCATGAGGAACACTCCTACTGTACATAATATGTAGGACGACTGGTTCGCTGATGGGTGCGCCTGGCATGACGGTCCATCCTCGTCTTGTCATTGTCAAGGAAAACAAGCGTCCCTTTTCTTTCTGGCTCAGCTGATTCTGTTGTTCTGCATGGAGAACATGACTGTAGGCAGCCATCTGAGCGACCCCTGAGCGTGAGCGCACCCCATAGCTAGGCTATGGGCATAGGCTGGCACTCCCTGCCAATCATCTGGGTGTTGGGAACGCTTGTCATGCCTGCTCAATCAGCTGACAATCCAATCTTATCACAAGAGTCAAACTGTACTGGTCATCACTATCACACAGGCCACTGACTGGCACTGAGATAGCCACAGTGGATTCTCTTCCCTAATAATGGGCCTAAACTCCTTCTCTTTTTCGGGACATCATACTGGCCAACCCTCCCGTTTTTCCCCGGGAAAATCCCGGAAAATCAACACTCCTCCCGGGGTCCAGGGGATTTCAAGCAAACTCCCGGAAAAACCAAAGTTTTGTCTGATACAGGATTTTCCTGAAAACTCCATGGTTTCTCCCCGAATGTCCCGGTTTTTTGAACTTTTTTCAAAGGTATGTACGGTGCTCATTCGCACTTCGAACTGTGCACAGCACTTTGAAGACCTGACCATGCAAGATCTGCACTGACAAAGTGACAGGCGGGCGCCGACTGATCAAACTGCACTACAGCCTTTAGTACAGGGTCGATCTGTGCTGTACGCACAGCTGCAGAGTCGAACGTTTTTTGGCGGGAAAAGCTCTTTTTCACTTGTTTTGTGCCATCCAGGGATTTTGAGAGAAATCCAGGGATTCTGCATGTCTTGTCAAGGGATTGAGATTGTGGTGGTTGGTCAGTATGGGACATGATCATGAATTAAATTACTAGAACTTGGGGGGGGGGGGGGGAGGGGGTAGTCTCAGTACCACTGCAAATAATTACTACACATGCAAGGCCAGCAGAAGCATATGAACAGTAGGTACAGTAAGTTGAACCTGTAACTAAACTGTCTAAAGACCACCGTGACTAGCGACCTGCCTGATACTACAGGCCTCTTCGCCAGGCATGGATGGTCTCACATTCATTATATGGTTTTCGCGGTGCAAACCTTTAAATAAGGACCACCTGCCACTAAAGACCGCTTTCTCTGGCCCCAAGGGGGGGGGGGGGTCGTCAGTCACAGGTTTTTCTGTACTAGTAGTACTGACTGTGCTACGATTGAAGTACGAAGCAGTCCTGCTCTGCATCTCTGCCAAGAGTGCAATGGTGTGTCATGGATGTGTGTTGATAATCTGCTGCAGAGGTACAGCCATGCGCCACGGTTGCACCGGCGACAGAGATTAGAGAGGAGCATCACCACTGGTACAGAGGCAAGAAGGTGAGTCAGTCATGACATCATGAAGGGTGTTCATGACATCATAGAGGGTGTGCTAGTGAAGTAGATCAGCCGGCAGCTAGCCCTTTACTTGGCGGATATTGCTCGAAAAGCAGTGAAATTGGCAGAACCATACAAACCGTATGGCAGGCACTTCCTTGAATTCTGCCAGTCCATTTCTTTACCCATATACCAAACATGCATGAAACATGAAATGGTACAAAATTCTAGCAATTTTCTGCCGGTATTATCCCCCAAGGAGTACCAGTATCCCGTTGTAGAATGCACTGTTGTGAAGTGACTGATGACATCATGTCTTCAAGTAATATCTCCGAATTTATCTGCATAGATACAAATGCATGACAAACCATAATGGAACACAATTACTGTATTTAAAGGGAAGAAATGACTCGCTAGAATACTATTGCTAATCAGGGATTTAGTCTACATGCACAATGCATAGCCTTCCTGTTGCTTCGATGGCCGCATTTGTTGTGCTGGCTTTACCTCCGATGGCATGTACTCTTTCACAAGCTGTTTCTTTTCTCTCTCTCTTCCATTCATTCTTTCTTTCTTTCGCAAGCCTGCTCCTCTCTTGCTCTAACCTTATACCTTGCTCTGGATCTCCCCTTCTGTCTGTCTGTCTGTCTGTCTGTCTGTCTCTCTCTGTCTCTCTCTCTGTCTCTGTCTCTGTCTCTGTCTCTCTCTCTCTCTCTCTCTCTCTCTCTCTCTCTCTCTCTCTCTCTCTCTCTCTCTCTCTCTCTCTTTCTCTGTCTCTCTCTCTGTCTCTCTGTCTCTGTCTCTGTCTCTCTCTCTCTCTCTCTCTCTCTCTCTCTCTCTCTCTCTCTCTCTCTCTCTCTCTCTCTCTCTCTCTCTCTCTCTCTCTCTCTCTCTCTCTCTCTGTGTCTCTCTCTCTCTCTCTCTCTCTCTCTCTCTCTCTCCACCTCCCCCTTCCTTGAATACTAAATGTGTCAGTTGCAGCTATGAAAAAAATTATAAGAAGCTGTCTATTTTTGTCATTGTTCAACACAGGTTGGCAGTATGAGCATGGTCAAACCAGCTGCACATTTGGTCGGCGTAGTCAAGTACTTTAACAACAGCCGGGGAGAACCTGGTGAGTAGGCTGATCTATTCAGTATGAATGCATACAGGTAGCAGTGTTATTAGCACTCTGGAAATACCCATCCTGAAGACGGAACAGTCGTGTTAGTGTGGCATGCCCATAACATATTGTTACTTGGAAGTATGTTCACGCACCATTTTACAGCAGTGCTTTGGCACTTTTAAGTTAAATTGGGAGCCGTAGGGACTGCACAGTTGCAATCTGAATATGGACGTGCCCTTTGTTGAGAGGTGTCTACAAAGGGAGGTTCCATCTTGCCGCCGCCGGGGTGTATGTACAGTGTAAAATACAGTGCTGCTCAATGAAATCCAGTCGCGTCCCTCAAAAACGCTCTGGGCGTCCGGGCGTTGTGCAGCCCTAGACCTGCAAACACTGGGCTGCGAAATGGTGCAAGGCGCAAACTTGAGTGACACGACTGGATTTCATTGAGCAGCACTGTAGTAGCAAGTTGAACTAACACCGTGGGTTCTATTGGTCATGTTATCGTCATTTTTTCCCCACTGCATTTAGGGTCAAAACTCACCTGGAGCAGAACGTCAAGAAAGTCCTATATACGCGACGTGGGTCTGGATAGCACGAATCGGACGATTGTTATTCGCCAGTCAGGCATGTACTACGTATTTGCTCAGGTCACCTTTGATGATCCCAGCTTGCTGTACGACGCCTTGAAGCTGGCTGTCGACGGCCATGACAAGGTCCAATCGCAGGTGCCGAACAATTTGGTCTGGAGCAAGGAGCAGGGGACGAGTAAAGTGCGGCACACGCTCGACCGAGCTGGGATCCGCTTCTCGCCAGTAAGGGCAGACCGGAAGCCCAACCCCGTTATTCAGAAGGACCAAGAGCTGGAGTTCCGCAAGACGGTGACCGTGCAGGCCCTGCTGCATTTGGAGAAAGCTAGCAGGGTGGAGGTGAACCTGGGGTGCTCCCGACCCAGCAGAGATGAGAATGGTCAGTCAGTCGAATGCAAGCCAGTGCTGTACAAGCAAGGTGGACGCAGTGGTGATGTCAACTACTTCAGTCTTTTCATGATCTAACGTCAAGAGCAGGACCCCATCTCGTACTGCCAAGTGGTATTCACCATTCCGTCTCATAGTCATACAACCAAGCCATATTGGCTCGAGTATATAGGACTGAAACCAAGTTATCGCTATCATAGCAAACATGAGGACTACACGGGAACTACGTTCTTGCAAGTGGTGTATAATCACTCAGCACCTGCATGTGAAGGTTTGCTGCCAGCGGGATGTTAGTGGAATAGATTGCCACGTCTTTCACCCGAATCATTTTTAAAAACAGCCCCCGGCAGAACCATCATGCCAGCTTTTCGTCAATTGTGAAGTCATGTGACATCTGCTTTTCTTTACAGCATACTCTTATCAGCTGCACTGTGAGAGAAAATCCCAATTACTTGAAGCATAAGTTCTGTTTGAACTGTATTTTTCAGAAGCATAGCATGCAGCATCAATACCACCACACATTCTGCTCCATTTAAAAGTATACGCAACTTTCTCGCACGATTGCTTCACAAAAGACTTGATTTCTGTGGATCTTGCTTTGTCCAACCAGCTGAGGTGCAGAATCATGACAACCTAAACGGTATCGCTGTTGAAATGTTTCTCCTTTTGAGTACTCGTCAATACAGTCCAAGGACTTGAACTACAAATCGTACATGTACATGTAGATGTAGTCTACGTCGTGTGAATGGTGTGCTCATTCGGCAACCTCCGTGCAGCTAGCGGGCTCTTGTTGCTGTATTGTTTGAGCCAATCTTTGCTTTTAGGAATTAGAATAATTATGTTGCTCCCTACGTGGGGGCTCGCGCTTTTTCTGCCTACTAGAATTCTCACATAACATTACTGACTCATGACTGCCATTCAGACCACACGACAAGTCCAACCGGCTATCACCCGGCAAACCTGCAAGAAAGCACCACTCCCTGCTCAATACACAATGTCTTGGGGAATTCACCGCTCATGATCAGTTGAGCTTGAGTAGGCTGACGAGGACTGAGATAATTGTGTCTGAAGAGCACCACTGGTGCTCTCCAGACCAAACCATCACCAGGGATACAAACTTTCAGAGACGCTCTGTTTCCAGCGCGACAAACACCTTCAAGCTTGTGAACACCGATTGCAGCGTGAGTCAGTGCGGCTATGGATATGGAGGCAGCTGGCTGAACAAACACAGTCACATCTGACTGCAAATATGCCCACGACGCAGCTGCTCAGTGCTCACCAGTTCAAGGTGTGGGCCCTTCTCTTCACTCAGTAGAGTAGAGTAGATCGAGCTGCACTCCCGGTGCCGAAAGGCGGGCTCACGCCTCTACATGGCTACTTCCCCTCGTCTAACCTCCAAGACGAAATGATAGTAACCGACTGGACGAAATTAAAACCGTAAAAAACGCTGAGGACCGGTGGCCATTCACAACGTTCATGTTCGCTGTTGCCTCCAAACCATCTCATTCGCAAGTCCGCGCTAGGGAAAACATTGTATAATTTATTTCAAGGATTCCCCAGTGCAGAGGCCGTTTAGGTCTATCGAGGGGCCCGGTCTCCATTCTGTGCAGTTAGGATGAGAATAATGAGAATACAAAGTGAGCAGAAAAGGAGAAATAACACGACGAATAGGACAACTGGGAGTGAGCAGATCAATGAGGAAAACAAGGAATATCAGTGAACTGAATACCTTTGAAATTTAGCGATACTATTATGCAGTTCTCTTTTAAACTAAGCAATATTTATGATGGAGGTTATGGTAGGGGGCAGACAGCGGCGGATCCAGAGTTCAGCTGAGGGCCTAGGGGAGGGCGCGGGTAATATTCATGACAGGGAACCCATGCGGTACATGTATTTTGTACACACATAGCGGCTATGTTACGTCATAGGCTTAGCGGTTATGTAGAATTACTATTTTAGCACATGCACTCACTCCCACTTTTTCAACCACTTCATTGAGGACTCTGGCTGTAGTAGAACATAGCCGTACTACATTGTGTAAAGATAGTGCTTCAAAGCGCAAGACATGCTGAGATCGAGAACAATAATGGCAAAATAATATTATACGATTACTTGGATGGCCATGTGGCCCATGTCCAGCAGTAAGAATGGAGTGGAAATACATTAGCAAGAAAACAATCGTAGTGTAGGGTCCGGCGGATTCTGCTCGAAAAGGTGGCAGATTCTGCTCGAAAAGCAGTGAAATTGGCAGAACCATACAAACCTTATGGCGGACAATTCCTCGAATTCTGCTCCATTTCTTTATCCACATACATATACCAAACATGCATGAAACTTACCAGAAAAAGTACCGAATTCTGCCAATTTTTCTGCCGGAAGAATCCACTGGATCCTATCGTAGTGTGAGCATTGGGTTCGGTTTCAGCATTTATACACAAGCATAATTATAATTATGCCCACACACAGGCTACAGCAAATATTGGCATGTAACGTGTTCTGTACAACCATGTGACACAAGTCAGAATGAACGAACAGCCAATACGGAGGATTAGCAAGACGAAATTCGCGTTCGCGTTCGCTCTCCAAGGAAAGTCGAACTCAGCGACGGAATTCGCGTTATGAGAAGGATTAGCAGACAGAATTCGCACATGCATGACGTTGACACGACGTACATTGTGTACAGACAGTACAGCGTGGTAAATTTATGACTGCCCTGACACGAATCCGCGATTCGTGTTCCGACTACTTTTCCGAACGAAAAATGCGAAAGTACGCAATCCAGTTCGCGAACTGAAAAATGTTTGCGAACGCGAACGCGAATTTCGTCTTGCTAATCCTCCGTAATAAAGCAACTATGTTACTTCGCTGCGTAGCAGTGCCACCAGCCACATTCGTGACAGTCACAACGCGCTTAACGTCGTCTTCTGCGATAGTTTCAGCAGGTAAATGCTGACTCGCGTCACTACTACTGACAGTCCCACCATCGTCGTCAGAATCTACTTCGGATTCCATTTGGGGAATATATATTTATTATTTAAAGGATTTCCCAAAGGCAAAGGGAGGTCAAGGTCAAGGTGTGTGTGTGTGTGTGTGTGTGTGTGTGTGTGTGTGTGTGTGTGTGTGTGTGTGTGTGTGTGTGTGTGCGTGCCTGAGTGTCTCTGTGTGATACATTTAGCATTCAATGCTGGTGTACTTTGTCGCGCTCGGCGTAGTTCTTTCCACATTGTGTTCTGTATGGTACATGTATAACGCATACAGTGTAGGTCCACCTTGCCAGTCTCCTCAATCCTCATGATGGCTCCTGGCCCAAAAAATGATTGAACTTGTGCAGGTTTGCAGCGAAGAGACCACTTGCCAACAGTAGTCTGCTTTTCGATGGACACCATGCGTCTCAGAGACGCCTTTTAGGAAGCAAGAGCACTCCACTCCCACTGTTGGCAGTAATATAACTGGCCAGGGGTGTCAGTAACTGAGATCGGATTTCTTTGCGCCGTGTGATGGTCGCTGAATGCCCATTACCGGTATTTTTGACTGTACATCATGACATGATGCATGATTGTATTCTCAAAGTCAAACATCCAGAAGTACCAGTGCATGTCTAGTGTACATGGATAACGTTACTGCAACTTTGTAAGTACATGTACTCGTACAGTGGACTAAGCATCTTCTACAGTTTGTAGGGCTAGAATACGGACACCCTCGGGTACTAAACATGCCATGGGAAAATGAAACGGAATGAGGCAAGGCAACCGGGTCCGAGGGCTACATGTAGTGTATGTTACTATGTAGGTGATTCTTTGCGTAATGTTTAGGTGTATGGCGTACATGTACATGGGCAGGGTGGGGCCGGGCCCAGGCCTACAACAGGCAATGCTCCTGTAGTTTAACCGTTCAACATAATGGTGTGCATACAGAACAACACGGACAATTAAGGCTTGTTTGCTGCTCCTTCAAGTTTCATGCTCTCGCAATCATCAGGCAACATGAGCATGGGGTGTGTGCATACATGTTACGTTGTTATGTTGAGGCAATTCACGTATGCCATGGCCGGCGTTGTAGATGCTAACAGGAACTTGCGATCGGGGGCAGAGCGCAGACTGTAACAGTATCCTGTATCTGCGGAGTGCTGGACGTATACCGGTAGTTGACTGGTTCTATGCCGGCTTGCGACTGTGCTACTCGGTCTTGGGTGCCAGGGACTGCGGAGATTGCCATGGCTTCCTCTGCCGCCGCTGCTGTTCTAGCTTGCCTTGGCGCGACAAAAGACGCTGCTCGTCTGGTTTGAACCAGATTGTAGATTGGTCTTGGCGAAAGGCGTACTTACTTGTACACGGCGCGGAGCGACTCAGTCAGTTGTGGTATTCGAGTGCTGAGCTTCTTGCTGGAAGAGTACTACCGTCAGGTATGGACATGTATTATTATGTGCTGATTGTGGTTGAATTCTGTGTGCAATGTACGTGTGTTTGGCTCGAGGTGCATCCTCCGTGATGTGATTCCGTTGGTACTAGTTGTGCAGCTATAGTCAATGCATTGAAGTTGCTCGCCATGTCTTTTCTTTGGTGAAAGTTGACGTTCACCATGGATCGTTCACTGCATTGTAGTCACGGTCAGATCGTGTTGATTGCCTTTTGCGGCAAGAGCCTGTTGTGCATCCGTGCAGCCATGCCTCCGAGATTCACAGTAGTCATGGTTAGCAATTTACCGTTCACGCTATTATCGACGGACCACGTGTACCGTTTTCTGTGTGTGTAACACACACAGAAAACGGTACAGGCGACGTAGGGCCGAAGTTAGCGTGAACGGTAAAATGTAACCATGTCTAGTTACTACCAGGGAGTACATGTAGTACAATACCTTATATGGTATTGTACTACTCCCTGGTTACTACTACTAGTATCTGCGAGCAACTAATTACTTAACTGTAGCGCGGAATTGCACCTTTCTCACTTGTTGTTGTTGTATAATACATGTATATTGATAGTGATAGCAATAAAGAGAACAAATTCTGCTGTCATCGCCACACTACAACAAAGTCTTTATTGCTATTATAAAATTGTTGTCTCCGCGTCGATTATTTACATATTGATAGTGGGAATCCAAAACACTTTTCAGTGTATCCTTTCACAATGTCTAAAGGCGAGTAAAGCTTCTCTTGCATTGCACTGCATGCGTCCGGATTGATTTGACCATAGTGCCCCAAACTCATGTAGTAATGAGAACCCATGGAGAAGACTGGATCAGAAAGTAAAATCCGGTAGTACTTGTCCTCGATTATGTCTTATAGTTACAGGCCACATGAATTCAATGGAGACTTCCCGTCCTAACCCATTACTGCCCTGCAGTGCACTGGTGTTGTCCTGCTTGCTCCACATGTACTGTGCATGAAGGTGCCATGAAGAAGTATGGTCGAAAAATTCCAGTTTCGCTGAGGGGAAAAACGTCTTGTTCATGGCACTTGCAGTTGATATGTGCTCAGTCTAGTGAGCCGCGATAATCGTATACTGGTTAGACCTATACGATGTATAGTGTTGCCCTGCAACATAAGGCATCCCCCTCTCTTCCCAGGCGCACCACCCTTGCCTCGATTGGAGATCTCTTGTTTGCAATGGCTGGGATTTACTTTGAAAGTCTTTCTCAGACCGCTTACGGGAGGAAGCCTGGGATCAGAGTCTGAGCAGACCTCGATCTCAGGATCTTCGCTGTGATCCGAATTCTCCTCCGAAGACTCGACTGAGCAGCTGACTGAGCAGCTGACGAAGCGCAAGTTCGCTTCGCGAAAAATCCGTGGAGAGTTTGTTGGCTGCCTGCCCGCTTGGGTGGGCGGTGCGCCATTCCCTTCACCGACTTAGCTACACAAGTTCGTCAACTGAACACTAATTTCAAAACTAAAAGTCAACCAAAGTCTAAGAGAACAACTATTCCGTGTTCAGAAGAACTTTCTTACCTGACACTAGAAACTACTTGTCACAGCATGTGCAAACACTTGCGCAACTACCCACGTGCATGCACTAAAAAAAAGAATCGAAATATTTGAGGGGAGGGCGCGCGCCCACCGCGCCCTCCCCTAGATCCGCCTCTGGGCCAGACGGTGCCACAGAGTGCCTGCCTGAAACAAAAACATAGAAGATAGTATGCGGCCATGACTATGGAAGACTAGTTTGTTCGGACGGCGTGTGAAGAAGAGATTGGTGCGGCTTCGGCGATACTTGGGGAATTGGGTGTTACTCCCTTCATGGGAGCTCGGTCCTCAGCGTTTGTTCAGCACCTCAGGTGACCTCCATGACTCGCGGCGACACTGACTCACGCTGCTATCTGGTGTTCACAAGGTGTTTGTCGCGCTGGAAACAGAGCATCTCTGTGAGTTTGTATCCCTGGTGATCATCGGGTTAGGTCTGGAGAGCAATATAACTATAAGCGGTGCTCTTCAGACTCAATCTTCCTCAGCCTACTCAAGCTCAACTCACGAGGGATGAATCTCCCGAAACACTGACTGTGTACTGAGCAGGGAGTGGTGCTTTCTTGCAGGTTTGGCGAGTGGAAGGTTCGATGTACTTCTGGTGCGCTCTGGATGGCAGCCGTGAGTTAGTCAAGAGAGAATTCAAGTCGGGCAGGAAAAGCGCGAGCTCCCATGTAGGGAGCAACACACAATTCTCGAAGTATCGCCGAAGTCGCGCCAACCTCTTCATATCCAGTCAAGTCGGTATTTTCGTGGTCTCCAGGTATCCTTCTGAGTGAATGTCTTCTCTGGAATGTGCAGGTCACAGTAGTTTGATCATCTTGAGTCTGGGTATGATGCTACTGTAGTGTAGAAGCAGGGGTGTCTGTGTGGTGCGTGTTGGTGTTGTGCACGAGGTGTGCGTTGGTGCTGTGAGGTGTGTGTTGGGTGGATGTTAGTGCCATGGCGGCAATCGGAGGATGCAGTGATGTACACGTGCAAGCCAAATAATTGCTGCTGAAATTTAGAAAGTGCATGATCAGGTTTCCTGAACGGCTTATACTTGCCCGTTTCGAGGTTGCATGTTACATCTAGGTAATTAACGACCTTCAGGTTCACCGCTATCGTCACCTTCAGTCCGAAGGACTGAAACACAGCGGTTATGTCCTTCTGCACACGTTCCGCAGATGATCCCGGGGTATTCCTTAGCACGGCGAGTCCACCGTCGCGGTATAGACCCATATTGCTCTTCAACTTCGGTCTTGTCTACGTGCTGAGCTAGTTTAAAGAGGATAAGGATGCCAACCAGTTCATAAACCTCTGCTCCGTCGAAAGAACCCATGATAGTTACGTCGAAGAGGCTGTCGCTGCGTTTCTTGGCCCATGTCCTTTCACCCTGGAATAGGAGAGATTTTCTTGCATATGATATTATTCCTCTGTCCTGGACTGTGACGGCTGTATACTGGCTGGCGAACTTGAGTCAAGCGCTTTCTCGAGGAGCTCTTCGGAGATCGACGGGTAAAACTCCACGACGTCGAACACGACGAAGGTGCATTCATCTTTCCCGTCAATGCCATCAAACCAATCTATGACCGCTGTTGAGCTCCTCCACAAGTTTACGGTTGTAGCGGTGCGGACATCCTTTGTTATACTCTCTAGAATAACCTTGCTGACTTTCCCTACCTCAGACTTTGCCGGATTGATGAGGCGGCACGGGCGGTCGTTCATGCGTCTATCCTTGTGGTCTTTCAATGTGATAACAGCTTCGGCTTGGGCCATGACTTCTGTTCTATCGGCGATACCCAAGTCTCGCGCAATCTTCTTAGGCTTCCAAGTTAACCTCTTCATAGGCTTTATCAGGAGCGGTTTTGTAGTTCCTCGTGACATTATCGTGCATCGCGGCTTGCCATACTGGTCTTTGGTCACTCTGTGTCGGATTCTTCGTCTTGTCCGCCTTCACGATGATGTCGTCGCTGGCTCACATGGTCTGTACGTCTTTTCTCCGCCTTTCTTGAAATTCGTCTGCCACTCTACGGAATTTGATGTTAGTGATTAGGCTGGCCGTTATGTCGTCTTCGAAGTCTCGGCTCCTGATCTAAGCTAAGTATCTGGGGTGGCGCTTTCCTACTTCTAAACCCGAAGTGCTCTCCCTTGGTTTCGTTTCCGTCTAAACTATAGAGAGTGCTAAACTATCAAAGGAGCTGCTCTAAGTCTAAACAAAAGCGGGTAGCGATCCACTGCATACAAGTGCTCAAGTTGTTGTTGCTGAGGCGGCTATCCCCTGTTGAGGTCGATAGCCCTGCTCATTTATATCATGTTCTCATATTTTCTGCTTTTCTTGTCATTCTTGCTTCTTGTGTTTGTTTGTTTTCCTCTAGTTTTCAACTTTTCTTGTGTTTGCAGAGAAGGCGGAGAGCCGGAACGCAGAACCCTTTTTTATATTTTTTTCACGGAGAAGGTGGAGAGCCCGAACGTGCGTGCCTAGCGCCTGCCTTTGTAACTTTTCGGGCCATACGTGGCATGTGTAGCACTCTGCTCTCTGATTGCTTCTGCCTTCGTTCTGCCACAACACGCACAGCTGCCCGTACACGTTCCCAGTCCATAGATTCACTTGCTCTGCCTAAAGCACGCACTCGTTATGGCTTATTCGCTTTGAGCTTTCTGGCTTCTGACCGCTGGAATTCTCTTCCAGCTGACATTCGCTCTTGCTCCTCGCTTTCACTATTCCGCAAATCTATACGTGACCACATAGGGTACCCTGTAAAAAGGCCTTAGGCCTGTGGGGATTGCCCTATTCAAAATTTAAATAATAAATAATAACTTGTTTATCCTCATGACTACCGTCTGAAGCACATCAGATAGATGCATAATAATAATGATAATGACCTTCCGGAATTCCACACCTAAACAATTAATAATATTGGTGCGATTTTGCATGACCGGGATTGAGGACAAAGTGCTCAATTCCAAAAAAAAAAAAAAATTCATGTACAGTGCATGCTGGCAACTGAAATCCGACCCCTGGGCGGATTTCAGTTGCCAGTACTGTATGTACGTGCGTAGATCTGTACGAACTCGTACTACTTTGTAGTACTGTATCTAAAAAATCATCATGCGCCATCGCGGCTTCGGATCGTGTCACTGAGCTGACGCGAATTCGAACAGCTAATTTTGAAAATAATTGATGCGACCGTGGTCACAAGTCACTGGTAGGTCTACGTGGTGGTTGCAGAGGGGCTGGACATTAGATTGGACACTGCTGTTCCGTAGAATACAGCCAGCTTGGTAGCCTTGTCAGCTGGAGAAGTGAAGCCGTTCGGGAATTACTAGCACCCACATCAAGTAAGATACGAACAACTGACTGGAAATTTGACGTGCAAATACTGTAAGTCAACAAAATTAATTATTCGGCGCATGTTTATTTTCGGCCATTTCCGGCCTGGGCATTTTTGGCCTAAAATTTGTTCTCGCCGAAATTTCACTCATAACCTGTCCCTGCGGGAATTATTTGCGGAAAAATTCTCGAGAACTCGCGCAAGAAATTGCGGCATAAAACAAGAAAAAATGCGGCAAAAAGTGCGGAAAGATGCAGAATTTGCCGGGAATTCGCGGAATTAGTTGCAGAAAATTGCAGATTTGGGCCAAATCACGAAATTTGTTGCATCCGTAGAATCGCTATTTGCGCTGTAGATCTACTCGGGAGTACAGGTGGAATCCTGATAATTCTAAAGCTCGGGTGCGCAGGCGATGTGTGCCTCCCAACTCTTGGGGAAGCCCCTGGGTAGAAATTGTGACACCTCAGAATGTGCCGATATAATTATTACGACTTTTCAGATTCCTGGAGATGCTTTCACTTGTATAAAGAACAAGAGTTAATTTAGTCCAAACTCCCCAACATGCACTCTCCAGCCGACCTCATGAACCATACCAGCTAGCAACACGACTCCAAGATGTAGGTAGTGGCATAAACTCCGAATCAGGTCAATTCCGCACCGCTCTCTTACCCCACCTGAAAAATTCACTGACTTACGTTGCTCACTGATCAAATAATTATGCAATCTTTCCTCTGCTGTCTTAAATCCTACTCTATTTTTCTTTTTTTCTTTTAATCTTTTCCTTTAATACATTTGTGTGCCTGTAACTTTAGTCGATCTCATGTAATAAGGCAACACTGCCTGTTTGTTATTCGACGTTAAATAAACCAATCCAATCCTATCCAAATGTGCTGTGCGCTGTGCATGTGTGTACATGTAGATCAAGCAGGGACTGTCTGGTTGGGCTTGGGTGCTCTGGACTAGCGTATTGAGCAGTGAGAATGGCGTTGTGTCACTGTCAACACAATGGAGTACATGCACATCCTGTGCTGTGGACATAGAGGGCCTTGTTTGCAATTTCGCAATTCCGGGAAAAGTTGCACTTGGTACCTTTCTGAGTCGAATTCTGACATTGTCCTGAGCGATCATGATGCGGCATGATCTTGATCCAGAGTGGCCGGGATACTACCGGAAACGACCCAGATGCAGGTTCCACCTGTCAGTGTTTGTGGTAGGGGAAATTTGAACTATCTTTGGGCCGTTTCCTAAGAACTCTCCAACTCCACTGCAGCGTTTCCGTTCCATTTGTAAACATTTCTATTCCCCGAACAGGCTCTCAGCTGCACTAAATGAATGGAAGGATTGCCAATATTTCACCCATTGGGCAGCATCAGGGTATTCATATCTTTGCGCTACCGTATTTCACCGGTTATCGACCTTTTAATGACCTAAAACCGACGTAAACAGGGGAAGTCGACTAACAACCGGCATATAACTGCCCTTTAAACCGGTAAATCGAGGCCCCAGATTTGGAGGTCGACTTACAACCGGTAAAATACGGTATACTATGTTGTTGTTGTTTGCTGCAGCAATAGCATTACTGTGCTGGCAACGACGACGTCATTAGCGGCAGGGTCAGGATGTCGTCGGTGCGAGCCCTGTGTGATGAGTTCTGGTCATGGCGCATGTCCGAATACCCGGAGCTGGGCACGGCCGTTGGCCACCACGACAACGACCACCGGTGGGATGACATGTCGCAAGAGACTGTTGGCAAACGCAAGGTGAGGCTCGTAGGTAGTGCAACGACCAGCAGTCTTGGAGGGTTATCTCGGCATAGCCACTATTCCACTGGCATAGCTTCTGAATTCAAGCAATACTGTGATGAATAAGCGGGTGATTGGAAAACAACAATAACAAGGACTGCATAGCGCAGAACAACACATGCTACCAGCACAGCCTGCTTGCGGACTTTCCAGGATGTTGTCTCTCTGCCGTTTTGGTCCCTCCAGGAATTTTGCCTTGGATTTCTACCGCGGTTGAAGCAGGCAGCAGAATCAGCCCAAACCAAGGTATGGTGGTCAGTTACTGGTGTTTTTCAAGTGAGCGTTTGGCTTATCAATGTAGTGGCTGAAAAGAATTCATATGACGTTAAAAACGATTTCTGGAGAATGAAAATCAAGACTCCACTGCAGCTGTACTTACTGAACTATCGAAACTAGAGCCAACGAACGAACGAATATTCTTAAAAATTCTAGTACTTGTTGAGATGAGCTGCAGTAATGGCGGTTAAAACCGGCCCGGGACTTGAAGCAGCGATTGCAGCATTGATACTGGTGAAAGCAGCAACTAGAGAGAGAGACACACACCATCAGTGCTGTGTCCATATGTTCAGACCACTTCTTCATAACGTTGCACACATATCGACGAAGTGTCCAGTGTAGGTAGCGTAAGAAACGCTCGCGCTTGATGACCGAATATCGGTTGTGATCACGAGTTCATCGGGAGTGTGCAGCACCGCCATCAGTTGCTGGTGAAGCTGCTCGTAAATATACCAATCCAATCCAATCCCATCCATGGACTCTGCAGATAGCTGCCGTGTTGTCTTCAGATGCTACGGCTGGTGCTATCCAGTGTACCCAGTGCCCATGTTACACAGTCCTGTACAGTTGTGCAAGCTGAAATTTGATCCAAATTGCACTCTTGGCGCCCGGTACTTGCGCGGCATTTGACACCCTGAAAGTGATACGAACGCCACTGGATGTATGAGACACCCTGAAAGTTATACGAACGCCACTGGATGTATGAGACACCCTGAAAGTGATACGAACGCCACTGGATGTATGAGACACCCTGAAAGTGATACGAACGCCACTGGATGTATGAGACACCCTGAAAGTGATACGAACGCCACTGGATGTATGAGACACCCTGAAAGTGATACGAACGCCACTGGATGTATGAGACACCCTGAAAGTGATACGAACGCCACTGGATGTATGAGACACCCTGAAAGTGATACGAACGCCACTGGATGTATGAGACACCCTGAAAGTGATACGAACGCCACTGGATGTATGCGTGCATGAGCACAGTCATGTAAAGGTCTACTCTCGTTAGTACAATATCGCTAACCTCATTAGTAGACGACGATCCGAAATTCCCCGGCACCTGAAAGTCGTACATGCAAGTCCGGATAGTAGATAATACTCGTTACAAGACAAGCATTTTGAAGCCCCGAGGTTGTCTACTAACAAGGGTAGACCTGTACTGGGAATTGGTCAAGGGCACTAGCTTGCCACTTTGGGTCAGATGTGCATTCAGCAGTACCGCCAGAAGCAGTTTTTGATTGGTCCGGTAGTATCATGGCCGTTCATACAGTTTGTGTATCGATATGGCGGGTACACATGACCTCCACAGTAGGTAACACGTGTCGGTGGCCGGAAAGTTGGTCCGGTGATAACCTGACCAACCGGACCAGTTCCGACGGGCCTGCGTTGCGTGTGCATTGTAATGACGCTGATTGGGATTTGCAACGTCCTGTCAAATGGCCGTGGCCACCAAACTCTTCTTCTTCTCCTGATTTTCTTTTCTTTGCTGACCAGGCAGAGAAAGACCTTGGCTTGCTTCTTACAAGTGAGATTGAAGTGTTCGTAGCTGGCCTGGTGCATAAAACGTAAGCAGCACCATTCTCGCGGTTCTCAATGATGTAACCAGTGCAATCATGTACAGTCGAATGTCACTTATCCGACCACTTCGGGAATCAGGCATGTTGGATAACCGAATATGTTGGATAACTGATATCATTTTTTGTGTGCATATATGGCTGGATTTCACTGATTTATGTACACAATACCCAAATATATTCATGCATATTCATGAATTGCTCCATGTACACATACATGTACATGTACATGTACATGTTAGCATACTTGACCACATCTACATGTACTTCAAGTAAATGCATATCACACCGTAGAATATACAAACAAACAATTAAAAAAAAAGCTTTACTGTTGAGAGTAATAAAATTACCACTCCCGGGCTTGTCGGATAACCGACGTGCTCGGATAACTGGCGACCGGATAAGTGACATTCGACTGTACTACTAGTACTGTGCATATTGCCTGTGTTATGTTATGTTTCTGTTCAACCGAAACCATTTGAGGTGGGCTCTAGGGCAACGTTAGTGAGGTTCTGGAAAACGAAAAATGTGCAGAAAGTTTCGCGACTACTTCCAGGTGTAGTGAGAGTATTTTGTTAGTTTGTCAACACACTTTCTCATTTGTCTTGTACCCTGGGCGCATATGACTGCTTTGTTCCAATTGTGCAGGTATTTATTCGCCATAAACGGCATGGAAGGCCCGCACATCGACCACGTCCGCACATTCTCCTGGATGAAGTTTGAGACGGCAGCGGACTACGAGAAAGCTCTGTCGCGACTCGACTCGTTGCCAGCTAACCTGCAGCAAGTTGAAGCGCTGCTGACGACCAGCATTGCGGAGAGTCGTCTACCCTCTGTTGTTTCAATGGTAAGTATGGGCAAACTGATCTTTAAAAAGGCGGTTGTGAGCAGGGGCATCGGAAGGTATTCGACATTGGTGCGGCCATGCATGGATGGATGGAGGGTCCGGGGTCCTCCGCCGGGAATGTTTTTAGAGAAATCGGGCCCGAAAAGCCCATATTCCATTGCTTCAAAAATCCCAAGATGAAATTGCTGGTGCGGCTTTGGCCGCACCTGCCGCACCGGTTCCGACGCCCTGATGAGGTGACTACAGTACCTGACCATACCGTATTTCCACAAATAGTAGGCCGGTCTACTATTTTTTCAACCTCGTCCTAACCCGGCCTTATAATCGAGGACGGTCTTGTATTCGAGGACGGTCTTTTATTCTTTCAACCCAGTTTGGCCCCCGGTCTTCTATTTCTCGCCACACAGTTTTACCCCCGTTCTTCCATTTTCTTCTACACAGTTTGAGCACGGTCTTCTATTTTTTCCCACAGTTTGAGCACGGTCTTCTATTTTTAACACAAGAACAAATACCGTAAAAGTCCGTAAATAAGTACGTATTTACTTTCGAATTTAGTGACCACACCCGTACTAACTTTCGGGCGGGTACTGACTTTCGGGCACGAACAAACTTTCGGACCTGACATGTGTGTAGTGGAGAAGTCATTTTCATGTCGATGTACATGCTACGTGCTGCATCTGCGCACCGTACCGGTACTTATTTCGGGCAGTATGTTTATCGGGCTTGACTTGACTTCAACAGACAGAGCCAAAAGAATGAAGGGGGTATTTCTTTCGGGCAGGTACTTATTTACGGACTTTTACGGTACTCATTTAGTAGGCCCGGTCTTCTAATCGGAGACGGTCTTTTATTTTTTCAATCGCCCCCTGCCCCGGCTTTGTATACGAGGAAGGCGTTGTATACGAGGACGGCCTTTTATTTGCGGAAATACGGTATCTCTCGTTAGAACATACTGAACTGTGCTAGGCACAGTCATCCTGCATGCTCTTAGGGATGAAGTATGAATCTGGATGGGGGAGGTGGCTTCTCTGGGGGTTCTGAAATAGTACTGTAAGTACACTGGTGGCAAAAATGAAATCCAACCCACTGAGTTCAGGAGACTCTGATTCACTGCATGGCCCTATTGCTTGCAGTGCTAGGGCTGCGCAGCGCACCCAGCTGTTAGACCAACTGGGTTGGATTTCAGCTGCCACCCGTGTGTAGTTCTGATGTGGACACCGTCACAAGCACAGTTTTGGAGGATACATGGTGTCACCTCTCCAGTCCAGACCTGGCGGTAGATTGTTGTGCTCTTGGACCTCTGTCTCTATGTATGTATGTAGCGCCTTGCAGTCCTCTAGCATTCTCCTGGCTAGGACAGATCACTTGCCTGGGAAGACCTGTTCCACGGCTGCCCCTGCTGTACACGGCTGTTAAACAAGACGCTATTGTCAAATACAGTCTGGCCACTGAAGTCTCTTGCTGGCCGAGATAGATAGGAGATGTACTGGGAGTAGTTTGTGTATGCATTGCCTGCCGGTATGGTTAGCTACCTGCACTGCTCATTTCAAGTACAACACGGCAAATAGATGTTTGTGCGTATTAAACCCCTTGCCTGGTGCTCTGTACTTTGATGTACTAGTACATGTACAATGTCTTGCTTATTGGTGTGTGAATCTGCTGTTTGGACGCTGTTTGTTTTATGCAATGCTGGTTGCTTTCTCTGCAGAAGGGAATAATCGATCAGATTAATGAGCTGACTAGTTCAGTTGACAGCAGTGGGTTTTATAAGCCATTCACAGCAGTTCCATCCTCCATCGAGGAATCAGATAGGTATGTCCAATGAAGTAGTCTGTGTGCTTGGTTGCCATGGTGTGTGTGTGTGTGTGTGTGTGTGTTTGTGTGTGTGTTTGTGTGTGTGTTCGTGTGTGTGTTCGTGTGTGTGTGTGTGTGTTCGTGTGTGCGTGCGTGCGTGCATGCGTGTGTGTGGTGTGTGTGTGGTGTGTGTGTGTGTGTGTGCATGTGTGTGGTGTGTGTGGTGTGTGTGTGTGTGTGTGTGTGTGTGTGTGTGTGTGTGTGTGTGTGTGTGTGTGTGTGTGTGTGTGTGTGTGTGTGTGTGTGTGTGTGTGTGTGTGTGTGTGTGTGTGTGTGTGTGTGTGATTCCCAGTTTGGGGGGGGGGGGGATTTTAGGGGGTGTCACCGTTTTGCCGGTACGATAGCTAATTGAGTCATCTTTGCAAGATTCCTTTTGAATCTCTCTCCCGTCTCCCGAGCAGGCCCATAGCCATGGTCAACGGTGGACAGCGTTGTTGGTGTACTGTGTATACTGACACTTGACGATGCTCGTCGGATAGCATCTACACTGATCATAGCTGGAGACTCGTTCTGGTCTCTAGAATCTTCTTCCAGCTGCACTGCTGTTTGTTGATGCGCCTCCTCGTCAACTACTGGTATGTCCTCAGTGGCACTGGCACTATTGGCGGTGGCATCCACTGAAGTCACTGAGGCTTTCTGCTGCTGTTGCTGAGCAGCCAGAATGGCGGATTGGGACTGACGCTTTACTTTCTCTTCTTCAAATACGACTTGGTCGACAGCTATCTGCGCATCCTTAAAAATGCGCCATGACACATTAAATTCACGCTCCCACTTTTCTTCTTCGTCGTGGGACGTCACATCTTTCTAAGTCGTCCGGGACATCGAAAATCTCATCCTGGATGAGGAGGATTTCCCGTTTCAACAGTACGGCATCGTCAATCTGGGACTGAAGCCTCTTTGGACCAACCCTTACGTCCAAATAGCTTTCTGTTGTTTTTTCTAAAATGTACGCAGTACATGTACATGCCTTGATGCGCTCGTACCTTCGCATTCCCCAACATCGACGCTTCTGGGCGTCCTTGATGGCCTGCAGGCCTTTCTGGAAGTCATCTTCCTGACTTTTGGCTGTAGCACAACCTCTACTAGTGCTACTCGAGTCTTCACTTGACATCCTGGTCACAGCACCATGTCACGAATGGACAAAACGAGGAAAAAGGGTGTCTAACATACTACTGCACTCCAAGGCAGTTGTGGCTGCGATCACAGTACTGTACATCGTCTCCATCGTGAGAACAAATTGATCATAACCTGTACCTATCAAGTGCTATTATCGAAAGACATTAAAAATAACACTGTAACGTAAAGAAGGTCTAACCAGACACAACTTGAAAACTAGAAAAACTAAAAAACCAGGCGAAGAAAAAAAAACGTTCTCTAAAACACGGTAATAGGCCATTTACACGATGTGTAAAGACTTGCACGTGTGTGACCAAGATAACACTGGCAAACCGTGATCCAGTTCACACGATGCTGGGCAAGATTTGCAACCGTCAGTGTATCCATAGTGACCTCATGAAAATGCCGGGAAATGTTAAATTTTGAATTTTCCTTTGTTCAAGCACTGCATTTGCAGTACGCACTTTCAATAATCGACACTTTTGCTGGCGTGCAAAGATAATCGTGAGCAAAAGGGCCTAGTCCAAGATAAAAATCAGTTGCACGCGTGTGTCCAAGTTTATCGTATCCGAGTAAATAAAATATCCTTGGAAACGGTACGATAAAAGTGAGTTTGCATGTCGTGTGAATGGCCTATAAACGGTTATGACGTCAGGCGTCCAAAAGGAGCGAACGTTTGAACTCCCGTACCAACTTCCAACAGATATGGCAGCTGGGGTCAAAGCATGCATACGCGAAATGTGTACAATAATGCACGAAGTGGGAAAAGCGGGTCACATGTAGAGCTAGGAGAGATTCACTACACAGTTCACTCATGCCAAATTAGGGCCTAGAAGAAAACAGCAAAGCACCCTGTTACAAATACAATGCCGGCCGTGTGCCGTAAAACACATATCAAAGCAAATTCAATAGTTCATGACTGTGCAGTCATGACAACGTGACCAGTTTATTGAGGTTATGCGATAACGTCAAATCCACCACATATAGGAGCCAGTTGGGGTGGCAAAATGCCCAACGCGGGTACAGAAACCCCTTATATAGAAAAAATTGGGGTGGCAAACGTACTGTATGACGTGTATCGCATAACCTCTATAGCAGTGGGCAAGTACAAATGGTGTTCGCTTGTATGTGCGCATACGTGTGTGTGTGTGTGTGTGTGTGTGTGTGTGTGTGTGTGTGTGTGTGCGTGCGTGCGTGCGTGTGTGTGTGTGTGTATTTGAAGGCAGTCTCTGCAAGACCGGGCCCGGGCAACCATCGAGACGGGTGTGTTCCCGGCATTCAACCAGTTGGCTAAGTTCCTGGAAGAGGTAAGTGGATTGTAGACTGGGACATGTATGTAGATGGCACTTCTCATTCCTTTTCCGTTCTGTCCAGTTTGCTTCGCTTGTACACATTCATGGATGCTGGTCGTATTGTTGTGTTGAATGGCTGAAGTGTTGTCAACGGAGAATAGAGTCTTATGCCATGTCATATGACATATCACATGATAATCACGATGGTGGAAGCCAATCATGATGCATTGAGCAGGGCACGTATAGCTGGTTCTTTGCCCTGAGAAGCGCTCGACCGGGCAGATATTTGTGATATCTACCCTCCTAGGCAGGCGGGTAGGTATTGACGATACGTGCCCCCCTAGGAGAGCAGATATTGATGATATCTACCCGTTTATTTTATTTTTTAGAGCAAGCTCTTTGCCTCTCTTGGACTGTGCCAAGCATAGCGAGGAAACCTCATTAGTGCAATGAACACCCAGACGGTTGCAGTTTACACGCAGTGTGATTGACTGTCGCCATAGATTGACTCATGTGACCGATTAGAGTGGCGCGGAAGCTGCGAATGTGATTGGTTTTGTCCGCTGGATGCATGTCATCAACGCAATCAAAACATTCGTGCTAGGGCTCGACCAGCGAATACATGCCCTCTGAGCTTCGCTGGTCGGGTTTGTATTCGCTGGTCTTGCCTTCGTTCGTACTCATGATTGATTCCATTCATATCTGCAATGCCCTTGAATAGAGTTTGCTGCACCCTGGGAATGTCCTGGCTACGAACGACCTACTCGAAATCCTAAGTCAGCCCAAGACCACGCACATGTAACGCCAATGTGATAGGTATGCCGTGTACTACGCTCAGTCATGTATTTACTAAGCAATACCGCCGTGTTGCTGGCTAGGGCTTCGTTGCAGTTTGACAGTCTGAGCTGATGACGATTCCTGCCTGTGACATTCCTGCTTGTATTCTCTGTTTCTCTAGGTGTACATACCGGCCTGTCGCAAGGACACGATTGGATGCCATGCGCTTCCTAATGGTGCACAGCTCTATCAAGATGTACGTCGGTACCACTGGCATATACCATTGTAGGCTTTCCGTTTGGCGTGCATGACTTTGTAGACCATACCGTTAGGTGCGTACCGTTAAGTGCGGCTTATACTCTGATGATCAAATTAACGGTGATATATGTAAATAGGATGGATGTCTGTATTTCGTTGGAAAAAATGGGGGGGGGGGGTGCGGCTTATACTCCAGGGCGGCTTATATTCCGGAAAATACGGTAAAAATCCTCTGACTCCCCACCGTGCTTGACATCGCCTTCAGGGCACGTCCTGCAAGGTACGGCGAGGCTCGCAAGCCAACCGCCAGGCGTAAGAACTCGAATACCACCACTGGTTCGGTGGGCGAGGCTCTCCACAGAAACCGGTGGAACTTGCAATCTCCAGGTCGAAGGCGAACTTGCAAGACCATCTTGGAGATACAGTCGTCCCTCTCTAATCCGGCAATCCGGCACCTTTTGCTACGGCGTTTTCTGCTGGATTAACGAGGGTGCTGGATTAAGAAATCCTGCCCTCTGACCCAGCCCTACCCAATTGCATGCATGCATCATACGTCAAAACGCAGGGTTTTTCCGTGTCAACCCAAGTATTTGGTGCACGGCTTTATACTCTCAACTGTTCTCCAGGAATATACACAGTGATAAAGTAAAACAGAGAACATGTTCACATGTACTCTTGCACACACACGCACACACACACACACCTGAAAATTGGCAGCACACTTCTCCTTGCTGTCAGCGAATTGTGAAAATATAGCAGTCAGGTCTGCAGCAGTGATTGTGGCACCGCAACTCCAGTCAACTGAACTGAACTCTGAACTGACTGAAGTGGCCCCGCGCGCGCGTTACTGGTTACTGGCCAGACTGGCCTAGCCTGGCCTGGCAAGGAGTGCACCTGTACGGTACGCGATTTATGACCGCCGGATTATGAAATCAAACTACGTGCAGTTTGAGCGATTCGTTTCAAAAAGTCACTGCCGGAGGCGGAATTCAAGTGCCGGATTAAGATGTAGGAATCGAACGAAAAAAATCGGTTTCGTCAGAAAGTGCGCCGGTTGGCAAGGGTTCCGGATAAACAAGTGCCGGATTAGAGAGGGACGACTGTATCACCAGCAATTGCTACAGGATAGGCACAGAAACGTAGCAGGACTTTTACCAAGTCATTTAGTAGCTTTTGGGCCGGTGCACATCTTTAAAAGACAGTCTGGAGTGGGCCGGAAGCAACCAAATTTGGCCATCTTCATCCTCCCCACTGAATCTTCATCTTTGGCTTTCTTGATGGGCGGATAGTCTTCGTTCACTGAGCGTACATAGAATGGATATTTTGGCGACAATAATGTTTGTGATAGTTGTCCATCAAGCACTCTGTCTGCGTGGTGGCGACATGCACACCGACATTCCCTTTGTCACCTTCCTTATCGGAGCAGCCAGTAGCCAGTAGCTTCTCTCCTGTCGAGCACACTGCTTTCTGTTTTCCATCCATCTCATGTTCGCTTTTTCCGCGCATTCTTCTATCTCTTTCCGTCCACTGTGTGCAGAGCACTACCCCTCACCATGTCTGTGGTTGCTTTCTTTATCAGAGTGGAAGGTGGCTTCGCTTTTTCCGCGCATTCTTCTATCTGTTTTCCGTCCACTGTGTGCTGTGCACTGCCCGTTGCTGTTGTGTCAGAAAGGCTATCGCCTTTGCTCCTTCCGGGCTTACTGTTTTAGTTTCCTGTCCATCACATTCAAATAACTGGCTGTGTCTCATCGGTAGGACCTATGTCGGCAGTGCAAGGTGCTGTGGGTTCCCCTTCTCTTGGCCCGGGTGAGGCGCTACAGTTCGGAAAGGGTTCGGGTGGTTCTGTGCGCGTTTGCCTCTCTGTTTCCTGCGCAAGCCGATACGGTCTCATCCGTGCAGCGTGACGCAGCAACGCAAGATGACACACTCACATCCTTGTTGCGTGGAGCGGCAGCGCAATCTAGGGAACCTGGCTTCAGCCTGGGTTCAGGGAGGGAAAGAGAGAGGGGGAGAGGGAGACACATAACATACACGTCCTGAGCTCTGTTCACAAGCAAGGTCGCTTACTATTCCCAGGTGATGCACTGAACGCTGCGTTTGTGTTGTGAACATGTTGTTGTTGCTGCCACCAGAGCTTGTCTTTCCACACGTCAACGTCGCTGACAGCGCAGGAAGTGCACGATATTGGCCTGGCCGAGGTCAAGCGCATCCGTACTAGCATGGAGCAGGTATGATCATGATTCAAACTGAAATTCCACGGTCACCTTCTAGTACCCTACTGCCTCTGTAGTGTGAAGTGTGCAATGTACGGTTAAAACAAACTGGAATATAGCATTTTTTGTCTTCATTGGGCAGTGGGTATTGTACGCCGGTGTGACGTTGACACCAGAGAACACAGTATACAGTTCAGGGTGGCAGTATCCTTGTTTTGTTTCCTTTCCTTTGTGGGAGTACCAGCAGTGCTGCAATGTTGTATTGTGTTTAGCCTGCGCCTGTTTCACAATGAATCAGGAGGGAGACCGGGAGAAATTCTTGTCCTTTGAATGTCCCGGTGTACACGTATAGTTACTCTTTTGGTTTCGGACTCACTTTCCAGGACTAAGTTCTGTTCAGACAAGCAGTAGCTGTATGCTGGGGTGCGTTTTTCTCCGTAACATGTCGACATTGTGGGTTCATTATGCATTCCTGCTTCTTTGTAGGTACTCCAGGAGGTCAACTTTGCCGGGACATTCCCAGAGTTCCTCAACCACCTGAGGACAAATGACAAGTTCCACTTCAAATCCAAGGTCAGTCTCTTTTTATAATTTATTTTTTGACTTACATGGACTCCTGGCATGGCGAACTATTATTAGTAGGAAAAGTTGCCACAATAGCATCAAGAGTGCATAAACAAGAGTATGCAACTGTGGTTATGGGCCAGTGCGCGGCGCGCTGCCTTCATTACGTAACTTGCCTCCATCACGCTCTGAAAGCATGCACTCAAACCCACAATTTCTCGTACGAGCCCATCCGTTTTTGCTCGATTCATTCCAGTACCTACGCGATCTCTAAATTTTGGCGCGTGAACTCCAGTTCCGTACGAAAATTCATTTCAAACCAGAGGGGAAGCGTAGTGTTTGATTTTCCGCAGTGCGCGGACTGCAGCTGAATGATGTAATGAAGGCAGCGCGCCGCGCATCTGGCCCATAGAAAAGAGATCACAGTTGCATACTCTTGTTTATGGACTCTTGATAGCATGTATCCAGCAGGATGGAGTGGGTAGAACCAACGAGGTATTAAGCTGTGTTCATAACTGGGGCGTGTATGAGTGAAACCATGCGTTTGTGCGCAATTCTGCAGGCGTTTGGGGAACATGCGAATGGAAACGCGCCGGAACGGAAATTCCATGTGTTTTTCTGTGCATGTCAGGCGCATACTGGCGTAAATGACGTGCATGCCAGTCACTTCCACTGGCGGGGTCAAATAATTAGTACTCAAAGGCGTAGCAGGACCTTGAACATGATGTTTTCTGTGAAAGCCTGAACGCTCGTTCGGGCACGCATGAACGGAAAACGTACTGCACACATGAGCCATTCCGGCATTATCGACATTTTTCATAAAACGAAAAAGTTTAGTTTTGACCCTAACCCCACCCACCCACCCCTCTGAGCGAAAATATATTGACTTGACAGCTAGAACGAAACTTATTTCGTTTTGTGTATAAAGGTTGATACTTATGGACGGCCCCGTATGACAGGTTTAGTGTTAAACTTATACATAGCCACATTTCCTAGCGCTCACGAATCTGAGAAAGAACCTAGTTCATGGCACCACAATGCATCTTGTTGTCAGCCCCGTACATCTTCAACCTATTACTTGCCAATTACTGTGAAACAAATGTTCATCATGTGAATCCTAATTTCTCTTGAGTGTGTCTGTACATATCACTACATACACATACATGTACATGTATACTGCAAGCAGTGGTGTTATCGTCCCGAACTCTCTTGCTATGCGTTGTCGTTTGTTGGCTTCAGGAAGAGCTGATTGATTCTTACAAGGCCGCGTGTGCCAAGATTCGTGTCCTGCTGCCCAAGATCTTCAAGACAGTGCCCCAAGTTGATTGCGAGTAAGGGCAGCCGCTGAGCTAACGTTCTCCCAGCATTGCGTCTGTTTAGAGTATGCATGTACTTTCTGATCTACAGAAAAATCTGCCCTAACCGTATGCCCTTGGTGCAGTGGAAACTGTCCTGATGCGGAATTCCGCTTGATCCAGGGACGCACGTTCGATCCACAGCACATCGGTGCATGAAATTCGTCCGGTCATTACAGGATTCCGCTTGGTACAGGGTCCGGCAAACACAGGTTTTACTGTGTTTTGGAAACCGACCGCCCAATCAGTCAGAGCAGAATACTTGGCTAGAACTGGTATTGTGATGCCCATCCACCTAGCTGTATTCTGTATGAGCAGTGGTATTTTTTTTAAGGATTTTTCGTACTTAGAGCACTCTGGCGCTAGAGCAACGCGTCATCTTATTGTCTGTGGTGCCTCCTTTGCACCATGGTCCTTTGCACCATGGCCGGTATTTCGGCTTACTTAAAGCTCGTAGCTGTACTGATGAGGCCTATATGGCAAAAAAACAGCTTGCTGTCTACAGCATTGAGTACTATTTGAGCACCAATATACATCTACATGTATGACCACTAGTTCTAGGTAAGCCAGAACGTTGGTACAGATTGATTTCTGTACATCCAGTCAATGCGAAATCTATTTCACATCCAGGAAAGCGGCAGAACCAAAGTCAAACTGGGTACATTTCTGGAAAATTTCGGCTTTCCTGTGTGTGTGTGTGTGTGTGTGTGTGTGTGTGTGTGTGTGTGTGTGTGTGTGTGTGTGTGTGTGTGTGTGTGTGCGCGCGAGTGTGTGTGTGCGCACGTGCGTGTGTGTGTGTGTGTGTGCTATTTTTTCAGTATTGTGCAAACACCTACAGGAGCTGACCGTGTAGCACCGGCTGCGTACTACCTGGCACCACCTGAGGACGGCAGTCGACCAGGAACGTTCTACCTTAACACGTATAACATTGAGACACGGTCAGTCAACAGCCAGGTTTAGATTCTCGTTAACGTGTGCATTGCTTGTGGCATGTGCCTGTTGCAAATCAGTACAAGTTGACCCACACACACACATTCTCGAACTCCGGGTAATTTGTACGAGGTACATTGTATACCTCTGGCTTGCAGTTGCATTCATTTTACTATTACAGTATCGACTATTTTGCTATTTTATTGACTACCAATATGGCAATATTGTCTTTGTTTTCTGTAATATTGTATGGGAATGTGAGAACTCTAGTTTCAATGCGAACAATCAGGGAATCTAGGTTCTCGGCCCATTGCTCATGACAAGCAAGGTTCCAGGTTCAAGCCCTGGTGTGGTTGGCATTTTTTCTTCGCTTTTCTGGCAGTTCACCTCTGTGTTAACTTATATAATGTTATTTGTTTGTTCATGCAGGGCAAATTATGAAATGATGGCTCTGTGTCTTCATGAATGTGAACCAGGACACCACTTCCAGGTACTCAATGTATAGGGGTGCTGCAATTCTCACCATGTGGTCTCTCACTCACTCTCTCCTCTCCTCTTCTCTCCTCTCCTCTCCTCCAATCCCATCTCTACTTTGCAGTTTGTCTTCAAGTTATTGTACAGGGCTGTGAAGCCTTCTTCTGATAATACACGTGCTCAGTCCAGGAAACAAAATTGCATGAGCACGAGGTGCATAGTGTGCGTACTGTTTCTACATGAGGCTACGTCTTCTCTGAGCTCCACTGTAAATCGCACTGAAGTATCTCCACGAAGTGCTAGCTCAGATTTGGGTTGGGACTGGAGGCCTAAGGAATTTTATGATTTTCCACTGTGTTCTTTTCACAGACTGTATTTGCCATGCAACAAGATGAGATGCCGAGTTTTCGCCGCCACGTTGAAGATTCGCACTACTATCAGGCACCAGGGCGGTTTGCGCTGCACACCGCTTACATGGAGGTATGGCCCGGTTCAATCGAGATCAGTAGCAGGCCCTAAGATGGCAGCACGCCTGTGCCTGCGCGTAAAACACGTGTGTGTGTGTGTGTGTGTGTGTGTGTGTGTGTGTGTGTATGCTCCATTTCCGAACAGCCACTGTGTGTGTGAGGGGGGGGGGGGGAGGGCTTGCAATTTCACTGCCATTACAATGATTGCATCATCGCTGTGTATAGTCTTTAACTTCCTTCTAGCCCAGTCTAGCTAGAATAACATGATTCGAAGCCAACAAAGCACTCCAGTACTAATACTTCTGTTTGCTGTTTTCTCTTGTCCTTCAGGGATGGGGTCTGTACTGTGAGTTCCTTGGACATGAGCTCGGTCTCTATGACGACCCGTACATGAGGTAACTGGCCCAGGCTACACGCTGTGCCTATGGTAACTGCTATATGGAGTCGCACGTTCGGTTCTTTGCACTTGGCAGTTGGATGTGGGTGAAGTGAAATCTGCTGAGGCAGCCTTGCAGCTAATCCCGTGACGTAATTATAATTGTTAGCGTGCAAAAGGCACACCGGAGGTTTAGACTACGTACATAGAACATCCAGTACAAAATCACATAAAACTTAAAAGGCAACATTTTTCCATGCCTGCATTCAGACTACACATTTTACATGCAATCATACAGGCAACCTTTGACCCTACACCTTATACGCTATTGCGCAATGGACCTGGGATGTGTGAAACGAAAGCAGCCGACAGTCGTACCCGGGTTCAAAGTTTGTACAACTACCTAGTGAGAAAGTACGATAAATGCAGGAGAGTTGCCTTCTACAAGGGTTCGCACCCTGCCTGAAAGGATTGGGCAGCTTTTTAGGCTTCCCGCCAGATTCTTGTTGTTGTCTTGGAAACTTCTATGTAAATGTGACTTTATAGGCTGTTTTGTACCTAGTCTGAAGAGGGCCTTACAGAGTTTGTCGCAACTCAGAGTTTCTTGCACAATGCAATCATCAGGCGACTCGTTAGCATGGCTGTGTTACACAGTACTCAGTAGTTGTGGCTTGCTGCTTCCCTATACTGTCACGCATAGCTCTCAGCCAGTATGTGTATTATGCATGTGTGTCTTGTCTTGATTAGATTCGGCCGATACTCGCTGGAGATTCTCCGTGCGTGTCGTCTTGTTGTCGATACTGGTATGCATGTTCTGGGGTAAGAATGCTTTATAGCTGTGTGCTGTCATAAACAACAATGTGTCCATTGTTACTTGCAGCTATGCACATGTGGCGGGGCGGGGGGCATAGCTGGTCCACCAATTAGGGGTGCATGGTCGAAGTACTGTATTCTGGAAGCAGTTAGTACTGACAATAGCAGCAGGTTTGTTATTGGACAGATGTATAGCAATGCAGCTACATCTAGCTTCAAGTACAATAATATTGGACTTTGCACAATGGCACTCGGTTCTGGGTTCACAGCAGACGCTAATTCTAAGGAGTGACTAGCTACTTTATGCTCGAACAATTATTCGGTTCGGTGGAACAAAAACACTTGAAGACAATGAGTGGATGAATGTACACTTTATACGAAAGAAACTGGCACCGCTTGAGTCTCACTCGGCGTCACCATTGCTTAGAGCTCAGTTCACCAGAATTGGCAGGTCGTAAAGTATTTTTTTTGTCTGGAGAAAGTATTAGTTTAATACTGGACTAGTAACTACCGTACAGTCAAACCTCTTTAGGACGAACACCAATGGACCGATGGCATTTATTTGCAACAGCGGGAGTTCTTCTTATCCATATTTTATACCCAGTCACAGTGAGTACACAGTTATTTATGCAATGGAGTTACGAATTCTAGATCACATCTAAAGCGAACATTTGTCTTATCAATGTTCTTCTTAGCAAAGTTTCACTGTACTAACGTTATGTACCGGGTTGCCCTTCACAGCTGGTCACGGCAGCAGGCAATTGATTTCGTGTCGGAGAACTCGGCCCTGTCTCTGCACAACGTCACGACGGAGGTCGATCGCTTCATCACATGGCCAGGCCAGGTCAGTGAATAATGGCGGGTGTGTTGTGTGTCGTGCAGTAGTGGATCAGAATGCTTTTCTGGAATTCACTTCTGATGCTTTGTGCCTGCTATGTGCCAGTGATATATTTGTTTTTAACCAAACGTGAGAACAACCCTCACTGCAATGCTGACTTGTGTGGATCTGCGGCAGTGTGTGTGCGCACGTGCGTGTGTGTGTGTGTGTGTGTGTGTGTGTGTGCATGTGTGTGTGTGTGTGTGTGCATGTGCGTGCGTGCACACGCACATGTGTGCGTAAATGTGTTGCCTGGAGCGCCTTAGTAATTTTGTTAACGTCCGACTGTGGTTTGTATTGTCCCTTAGTCTGATTTGAATGTGATGTGTGCTGTGGATGGCAAGAAGAGTCTCACTTGAATTAAGTCTTTGTCCGGTTTCTCTCACACTCACACTACAGGCCTGTGCGTACAAGATAGGTGAGCTGGAGATACAGAAGCTGCGCCGTGAGGCAGAGGAGAAATTAGGTAAGCCCCTTGACTTCCTTCGTCTACCCTGTCGTGTGGGTGTGGAACAGACTTGTTCACTGGTACAGCATGGTTGTGTGTGTGTGTTGTCACTGTGCCTTGAGATGGTGGGTTGATGCTGTACGACTGCACAGTCGACCAGCTATTTTGTGCAATCATGAATGTACATGTTTTTATCTGACCTGCGTTGTTGATATTCGTTGAGCGTGACGACGTCTTTTGTCTCACTTCATGCTGATCTTGTTCTCATTCTGTGGAGGGAATGGGAGGGGGGGAGGTAGGGGTAAGAGGTGGTGCGCACTGAATCACGTCAGGCCTCATGAGTCTGTGAGCACCCGGCACCGCGCTGCCCTGCCTTGCAAACACTTAGCTTTGTACTGGCGTCGAGCACTGGCTCGTTTACTATAGTGCGTTTCAAAAGTCCAGACCTCTGGTTTCAAAAAACCGTTAGGCCAGCATCTATATCACATAAAATCTGTGATCACTTTGTGCATAAGATTTCCGAAATTGGGCGTCTTTTATCCAATCGCTTTGGCAGGCAGGCACAGTGGGATGGTTGGTCTAAGACCATGATTGAGAAACAGAGGGTACCAGGTTCAAGTCCTGCTCGGAAGCGGAAGGATTATTTCCAATTCGTGGCCTGGCACGAGGGAAGCATGGATGCAGCGAATGGGATTTTCGGTCTTTGACCACTTTGTGGTGGGTCTGATCTACTCACCTCCCACCGCTTTAGGAGCTGCATTTGCGCCTTGATCCGCAGAGGGTGGTGGCGTCCCAGCGGATGTGGAAAATTCAGTCTCCAGCCGAGTCTCACGCAAACGGCGAACCTTTTTTTTTTAAAGGAAGTTATATGAGAAAAATTGCAGGAGCTGTGTGAGCAATATCCTGAAGAAATTTCTCAAAAAGCTCAAACTAAATTTGAATTATACGAAAAGTCTAGAGGTCTATACTTTTGAAACGCACTATAGGCCGGATTTTATCGAGCTTTGGTGTATTTGGGCTCAGGGTGTGTGGTGTTGGATTGCGATCTGCATTGCGTAGCGCCGCAACCTTCCTGTATTTGGTTGCTATTACACAATTATCCCGTAACTCCCTGTGAAAGTGTGCTGATGGTGGTGCTCTCTCTCTCTCTCTCTCTCTCTCTCTCTCTCTCTCTCTCTCTCTCTCTCTCTCTCTCTCTCTCTCTCTCTCTCTCTCTCTCTCTCTCTCTCTCTCACTCTCTCTCACTCTCTCTCTCTTCCTCTCTCTTTCTTTCCCCCACCTTTAGGCTCTAAGTTTGATGTCCGGGATTTTCACGAGGTGGTACTTGCATGCGGCCCCGTCCCTCTGGATTCTCTTCGGTCTGCCGTCGAGGACTACATTGCATCCATGGCAAGCTAGAGCGTGCTTTACCAAGTACACGACTATCACTTTGCAGTTCGACAAACTGAATTCCAACTACTTAAGTACAAATCTTGGGTAATCGGCCAGTTCTGTGTGGCCTCATCGCTACTAGTATCCAGTATCCACCTATACTCTGTCCATGAACCATGATAGTGGTGTTGTGTGACAAACTCACCGGATAATAGCGGATTCCATTTTCTTGCGAGGGCGACACGAAACGTGTGTCCACTGTGGACTTTATGCTCACAAATTCAAGCTACTGTTGTTGCAACATGCTCGATCTTTTACAATAATCGGCGCGCTGGTACAGTTATGATTTTTTAGTATACCGAATACAGGTGGCATGAACACTCATGTGTTTCTATTTTTGAGGCTTGTTTCTAATGAGACTGCACCATGCGTGTAGTCTGGAAGCAGTCCAGTCTGTCTGTGAGTATCATCGTCCAGCCGAATGGCTCACCCATGCATACGGAATCCTACTTGAAGGCTAGGCTAGGAAATCACCGTTAGTCTGGCATGCAATTGAGTTTGGACAAGATTAAGATTGTAATCGCTTGGATGATTCCTGCTGCTTGCTGGCTTCACAGCAGGGATGCGATTTGTAAAACATGTTACTACTCCCTGCTGCTTCACAGTGCTGGCTTCACAGTGTGTTGCCAAAGTGTGCAGTAAGTAAGTGCTGTGTGAAGGGTTCTATGCATGCTGTATCATGCGTTGTACTATGCTAGCCAGCTTTTTAAAACAAGACTATTTTAGTTAATATCCGAGGGATGCATGCAGTGTCGACGTAAACTATTGTTCCCTTGTACAGAATGCTGTTGACATGGGCACTAACTTCATTGCATACAATTTATGCAATTGAGCTAATATAGCGCCATCGCCTGATGCTTTCTTGCTACTTCTGACCATGATCCCCTGTTCAGCCGGGCCCTACGCACCTCACACTGATTCTCCAGGGACCCTCACGGTGGACACCTAAGACATTATCCCACTTGTGGTTGGTCACATCATTACCCCGCTCTGCTTAGTAGCTATTACCACTGCAGTTGCTAGCACACCTCCACATTCCCCATTATGTTCCTAGGCCGTGGCCCTAGTCTGTATCCACTACCGTATGTTGGCTGATGATCAGCTCGTATTGCCATGAAACTCGGAGTAGCAGCAGAGCAAAGTTTCCTGTCCGATTGTGAACTTGTGTTTCATTTCAGTGGTACAATTTTGTAAATCTAGATGCACAACGTACTATTAAATAGGTCTGTGGTAGATCTACACTATTTAGACTACACATGATGGAGGACCCACCTTGACCTGCGATAGAAGTACTTTATTAGTTCAAGATGATCATTGCTTCCACCTATGTCCTTCCAAGCCATGGATGCATGGTTCCCGTCTAGCCAAACCAGTAGATCTACCGGTGTACAACATGCATGTCAGACCCGTAGACCTACGGGCCGGCGGGTAACCCAGGCATAAGGCCATCCAGAATTAATTCGTTGTTTCGGGTCACCCGACCGACCGTCTTTTTTCACCCGACCGCAATTTTTTTTTTTAGTGCATGCAAATGTGCATGACTACAAGGACTTAGGTACCGGTAGACTATGTACACACTCGACCCAAAATATAGCAGTCCAGACATCGACCTCAGAAGCAGCCTTCTATCTCCGATTCGCAATCGCTCCTGAGGCAGCATCAGCTCCGCCACTGCGTCGCTCATTGACAGAAGTTTTCAAGGACTTCGGTGAGAGCTGCTCGTCAGAATCGTTTGCCAGCGAGGCCAAGATCTGGTCCTGGAGCGGACCTGGATCTGATGGGACAATGGCTACGCTGGATCGACTACAGTCAGATTTGATCGACTGGCTTGATGGAGAAAAGCTATTCGATATGCACAATTGTACATGTATGCACCCGGGTACCCCTGCCCGCAACTAAAATAAAAAAATAAAATAAAAAATAAACCCGACCGACCTACCCTGGTACGGATGAGTGAAGTGACCCGAAACAACTAGGTACTAGGTGGCCTAACTATGTACTTGTAGAGGGGACGGTTTCAAATAGGACACCGGTTGCAAACCGGAACGGACTCAATATTCACTTTCTCTCTTGGTATTTTGATTAGAAAACATAATATGTCACAGTGAGACTACTATGTGTTATACTCCGAGCCAAAATTTCATGGCTCTGCGATGACCAGAAGCGCCATATCAAGCAGGCGAGTTTTTGACGTGTTGCTTCGCACTGCGACTTGAGTTTTACGACTTTCGAAAAATCAACTTCTTGTCGCAGGTAAACAGCGGCTCACCTCTCGCCAATAAAGCACCGCATACCAATCAAAACTAATGGAAGCACACACAAGGCTTATTGTTACTCTGTACTGACCGTCGTGGAGCGATAGCAATTACCTAATTTCAGACCCAGAGTGAATTTGACGTGCACTCTAAAACGTGTCCGGTTTGGAGCCACCTCTGATTTGAACTTTTTTGAAGCGAAAAATTGGGCAACTTGGAGGCAATGGGTCAACACAAAGGAGTGGCTCAGTTCGATTGACTCTGGCCCCAGAGCAAACTTCAACATGCCAGTTTCCTTCCACAAACATATTTCGAGTGAAAAATCAACGTTGATAATCGGTTTGGGTCTATACAAATTTGGCTGTCAAAACGTCCCGGTATCGAGCCGTCTCCTCTACCAGGTGTTGTCAAAATATATTCATTGTGCAGCCAAACATGGCTATTTTAGTATTTACGGTCGCTAGCTGCTCCTCCCTTCTCCACTTAGCGAAGGAAAATAATTATTTTGGTTCCCTCCTTGCTGAATGAAGACATTGCGTTCACCCACAGCCGCGAAGTTGAAGGACTGACGAAGATGAGAAGCGTAGGAGGAGTATCGCTTGCCCTAGTAGTTGCTTGTTTGTTGCAGCTGGCAGGATGCGCGGCTCCAGAGCGCCCCTACAATGTTCTGTTCATAGTTGTGGACGACCTGAGGCCGGAGCTCAACGTGACTTACGGCCACGAGTACATGCACACGCCTAATCTGGACGCCTTGGCTGCCCAGTCAATGGTGTTCGACCGCGCCTATTGCCAAGAGGCCGTGTGTGCACCGTCGCGCAATTCATTCATGTCAGGCCGTCGACCTGACACGACCAAAGCCTGGAACTTCATTGACCATTTCCGAGAGCCGGGTGTCGGCGCAGACTGGGTCAGCTTGCCGCAGTATTTCAAGAACCATGGCTATTACACGTGGGGCGGGGGGAAACTGTACCACCCGAACTTGCCCCCGAAAAACGACGAACCTCTGAGTTGGTCGCAGGAGATACCATACTTCCCAGTGACTGACGAGCCTTGTCCGAAGGGGACAAAGACTCCGTTTTGCTCTATCGACGCACCGCTGGACTCCTTCTTTGATCATCGGCTCAGTGAGCACACCATTGGACTGTTGGAAGCGGCCGCACTGAACTACACCGACAAGCCGTTCTTCATCGGCGCCGGATTTCGCCGGCCGCACGTGTCCTGGCGAGCACCGCCGCGCTTCTTCGACCTGTACAATGCGTCCATGATTGCCACGGCAACACACCCGACGGCACCCAGTGGCATGCCGGACATTGCGTTCACCACCGAAGGCGCCGCGGACATTCACCATTGGCCGAGGGCGTACGGCCCGAATGATCCCGAGCCACACGACAGCCAGCAGCTGTTGAGACGGGGCTATTATGCGGCGGTGTCGTTCGTTGACGAGCAGATTGGCGCAGTTTTAAAGGCACTGGACCATTATGGACTGAGCAATAACACAATCGTGTCTCTTAACGGTGACCATGGGTAAGTAGTAAGCATACACTAGACTGACACTGTTAGTGGTGCTCAATGAAGTCCAGTCTCATTGATCATGTATGCACTCTACGCACTCTTTACTATTTCACAGCTCAATGTTTGAAGGTCTGGGGCTGCGCAGAGCACCATACAGCAGTGCACAGCCCAATGTCTGCAGTGTTTGTTGGCCGGGGCTGTACTGTTGGTGGTGGGGGGGGGGGGGGGGGGGCACTACCTGAAGGTGATTGACGTGATCGGTTTTCAATGAGCAGAATTCTATTGCTTCATGCAGAAGTCAAAACAACTTGATTAGTTTATAGTTTGATACACGATTGCAGGTCACGTCTCACCCAAACTGTGCATATTTGGCACCTCTGGCTTACACAGCCCTGGCGTGTTGATGCCCTAAAACTGTGAAAGTGATATGAGTGCTACTGAACATACACATACACCAAATGTATAATGGCAATGCAATGCAAACTGGTCCAGGTCACCAGCTTTGCTTGTCTTTGGGTCGGGCTTCACCTAGCGCTCGTGCTGTGCTACTGCATATGAGGGTGAATTCAAACAATTAGAGGACAGAGAAAGTGTTTTTACTCCGAGTTTCACGCACTAAGCGATCATCAGATGATCTGATGATCGCTTAGTGCGTGAAACTCGGAGTAAAAACACTTTCTCTGTCCTCTAATTGTTTGAACCAGCTCTACCACTCGGTATTGAGCACTCTCTTGGACAGCCTGGAACCTCTCTGTTTTATGAGGGTGAATTAGTTATTATTGTGAACGCATGCCAGCCAGCCAGCACACAGGCAGTGAGTGACTCATGCATTTCACCGGACTACACTGTGTTCGGCTGTGCAGCTCAGAGTCCTGGCCAGTTTACACATGCATGCACTGGTCCAGTGTTATCTACTCGCATGGCGTGCAAATAACTGCAGAACGTTGTGCCTTGATTGTGGTTCCATGCAGATGGCAGCTTGGCGAGCATGGAGAGTGGGCTAAACACACGGTATGCTGCAAACTTTCAGCGCGCGTACTTGTATGCACAATCATCATCCTTTGGTCTTATGCACATGCACACACACACACACACACACACACACACACACACACACACACACACACACACACACACACATACACACGCACACACACACACACACACACACACACACACACATACACACACACACATACACACACATGACAGTAGACTGGCGGTCAAGCTCAGGTGTGTGCATGCATGGCATAGGATACCGGGAAGACCGTTTACCCTCTCTTCCCCTTCTCCATAAGACCTTCATACAAGTGATCGTGAACAAGATTGGAAATATAAGAAGAGTTATCATAAACTTTGCGTTCTCCCCTGCTCCACCCTAGTAGGGTGATCCGCTATGTTCTGCAAAAGCTCACGTCATAAATGCACGGCTTTCCTAGTTTCCATATTCCTTCCTTTTCGTGCTGCACTTGTAGAACTTTGAACTGGCTGCGAGAGTGCCAATGATGGTGCGGGTTCCATCCAAGCCACAAACCGCTGGGAAGAGATCCAGTGTAAGTTCGTCTAATTGTATTTGTGTGTATGTATGCATATGTGTACTTCAAATACGGTATGTGTATGTGTGTGTTCAACATACGCTGGGACTGGGATAATTCCCGTACATCGTGTATGATCTTTGCGGCTACAACATGATTGGTTTCCAGACCAGGATGGGATGTTTAAACATTATTGGTTTCCAGACCAGGATGGAATGTTTAACATCTCTACTATAGTACATTAGCTGTCCAGTCGGTGTAGCAGAACCATAGCGTCATCAGGGCCTTTGGAGCCAGTGTCCATGTGCAAGGCACATGCTGCAGTATTATGACTGTCACGGCATCGGGCATCACAGCCTACATGCCCAAGTACGGTTGTCGACCAAATTACAGGATTTTTAGATGAATTTTCGTTGTGAAAGGACGTTCACTACTGGTTTTTGAAGTGGGTTGAATGATTAAATTTTGCTTCTTCTGTATCTGCATGCATGCGATCTGTGGGGCGTCACATGCAACCTCTCCGATTAGTTGTGCTGGAAGCATGCTGTATGGCCATGGTCACAGCTTCCCTTTCTCCCCGGGCCCTTGGTCAGAGCCCCCCCCCTCCCCTTGGTCAGAGCCTCCCCTTTCTTTCCCTCCCTCGGAGGCAGAATGTCATATTCCAGTTTCTATTTACGAAAAATGCATATCTGGGATATAACCACAGCTGGGCGATTTTGCCCAAATTCATGCATGAAAAGAGTGTGGCCCTGACAATCTATTGCTTGTGCTATTGCTTGCAGGCCATTGTGGAGCTCATAGACATGTACCCGACACTTGCAGAACTGGCTGGCCTGCCGACCCCACCGGATCTCAACGGAACGTCGTTTGCGCCCTACTTTGACAACCACACCATGCCCTCGCTGAAGGATGCCGCATTCTTTCAGTTTCCTCGCTGTCCCAAGAACCTATCACGGATGTGGGATGAAAACATCTGCCTTTCGGTATGGTTGCTGTGTATCCTCAGTAGAAGTTCTGTACTTCCTTGGGGTTGACGTTGGACATGTGTTTCAGGATACACTGGATGGTAAACTTGTGCTTGCGCTTGTGATGTGATGTTCCTTCACATGACCCTGGCTAAGCCCGAACTCAGCTTGCACGTTTGTTTAGTCGTGGATGTATTTGTCCTCATATTTACTTGGACCACATGCTAGTACACATTACTGAGCTTTAACAAAGGTGTATGATAACGCAATGTGACTTATTAGCTGTGCACGTAGCGATAGCAGCTTCAGTGGAAGTACTTTGAAGAAGTTGACTTCACCCAATGCGGAGCTTACACTTCCGACCAAAAAGTTCTTTCTCCATTAGTCGTTTGTCGTACGGCGCGCATGCCGTCTATGTGCGTCATTAGCACGGAAAGGGAAATGGTTAAGTATTACTCTCTTGTAGTCTCTACTCTGATTTGTATTCGCTGTGCACTACTGCTACTGTTGCTGCTGCTTCTGTGTAGGTGCCACGTACAGAGTTCTATTCGATGGGTTACTCTGTGCGCACCACACAGTACCGCTACACCGAGTGGCTCAAGTGGAACGGAACGCGACTGCACGGAGAGTGGAGTGACGTCGTCGGCGTTGAGCTCTACGACCACGCCGGCGACACGGGAACGGATTTCAATGCCTTTGAGAATGAGAATCTGGCAGCTGAGCCCAGTATGCAGGCGGTTGTCAAGGAGATGCATGTCCTGCTGGTGAAGAACTATGGCGAGTAGTCGGACACAGCCAACTACTTTCAAGTAATTATTTGGGAAATGTTATTTAAACTTATTTTGAAATTGAAGATAATGTTATGACATTGTGTGAACTTTTCTCATTCACTAGCACATCTGAAGCTACTGCCCTGTCAGCGATTGCTAACCGGCTGGTCAACAGTGAAGACTGGCCAGTTCAATCCTCGCCACTGCCACTGCTCAGGTGTGAAGAGTGCTGGGATGAACATTTCTGCCGTGTCTGCATGCGAGAATTGCCATGCATGCTGGTATATTCAGCAAAATGGCTGCTGACTGACAATTTTGACCTTTTGATATGCTATGCACCTCGTGTGTTTGAATCTTGTTGGCGTTGCGGCCCTTGGAAGTCAATACATTCAAGTTCCTGTATCTACTATTCATTTGTTATCTACCTCCACTGAGGACCTCTCAATGAGCGAAACAGCTGTCTGGAGGATACGGAACATCTACCCAAGAACGAATTTCCTCGCTATGGAGGATGGTGTTTTGATTGTGGACCAATAGTGCAGTGTGGAGAGGTAGAGTGGTTCAAAATTTCGAATGGCCAAGTTAGTTCGTCGCAGCTTCTACTGCACGTTGGAAAAAGATTCCAATCAGGTTCGAGTGATCAGTGGAATTCTCTGCTAACTTACTGGAATGATCCAATTTCTGCAATGTTAGGCATGGTACGCTTTCCAACGGCCAAAGAGATTTGGAAAGCTCGTGTCTTTGTGGATAACTCGAAACAATTTGCGCTAATAATAATAATAATGACAGTTCGTATATCACTCATTGCATGAGGTCAACGCATCTGTTAACAATTTCGAGCCAAGCAGCTCTATCAGAAGCAGATTGCACAGCATCCAGAAGCGACAGATTAATGCATTGTAAGTCTTTCTTGACAACGTCGATCCATCTCAGACGTGGTCGTCCTCGGGGTCGTCGTATGTCTGTTGTGTTGATTGCCATTAGGAGGGCTTGGAAAGAGTACGATTCTTCGCCTTCCCTCACTACATGGCCGAACCACAGCAGTCTCCGTTGCCTGCAGACTTGGGATAGTGGGGTCTGCTCGGTTCTGGCATACAGCACTGTGTTCGAGATTCGCTAAGACGCTGCAAAATTCGCTCCGATTTTGGATTTCATTCCACAGGATGTGGCACCTACAAGATGCGGTCCAAGCCCCCCATTCCTGTCACTTCGCAGTGGCCTTTCTTCCTTTCAGTTTGTTCCCGCCCTCCCACCCTGGACTGAAGGGTTTTTATAGACAAATGCATGTAGCTGCTTTTGTTTTTGCCTAGGGCAATTACAACTGCGGTGCTTTTCTTTGTTGGGTCTTTTTTAACATTAGGGGTGGTGTGCGCGTCGTGGGCCATTGTATGGTTACATACAGCTTCAAAGGGTAATTGTCAGGGGATGAATTGGCATGAGGCAGAATGCAAGATTGAATTGAGGGGTCGGTGGGATTTTTCAGGGGCCGTCAAGGCATTGTGTTAACTGAAGCTGGATGATGACCTGTGTGGTGTTCCAGTGTGAACATGCTGTGCAAGGGTGTTCTCTTGCGTTTCGGGACGTGTGCGCTTTTACAGTACCCCGGCTATTGTTATGCCATTGTTAGACGTGCTGTTTGCTGTTTAATTATCGGCTTTTCGATTGACTGTTGTATCGATCGTGTACATATTTGTAAACTTACAAATAATTATAGTATAACAAATAAAAGAGGAAATACTTTTAAATAAAAGCCATTGCCGAGTCACTGCGCTCTCAGAAGAGACTTCTGTGTGTGTTGGTGTTGTGAGAGTGTGTGTTGGTGTTGTGAGAGTGTGTGTTGGTGTTGTGAGAGTGTGTGTTGGTGTTGTGAGAGTGTGTGTTGGTGTTGTGAGAGTGTGTGTTGGTGTTGTGAGAGTGTGTGTTGGTGTTGTGAGAGTGTGTGTTGGTGTTGTGAGAGTGTGTTGGTTGGTGTTGTGAGAGTGTGTGTTGGTGTTGTGAGAGTGTGTGTTGGTGTTGTGAGAGTGTGTGTTGGTGTTGTGAGAGTGTGTGTTGGTGTTGTGAGAGTGTGTTGGTTGGTGTTGTGAGAGTGTGTGTTGGTGTTGTGAGAGTGTGTGTTGGTGTTGTGAGAGTGTGTGTTGGTGTTGTGAGAGTGTGTGTTGGTGTTGTGAGAGTGTGTGTTGGTGTTGTGAGAGTGTGTGTTGGTGTTGTGAGAGTGTGTGTTGGTGTTGTGAGAGTGTGTTGGTTGGTGTTGTGAGAGTGTGTGTTGGTGTTGTGAGAGTGTGTGTTGGTGTTGTGAGAGTGTGTGTTGGTGTTGTGAGAGTGTGTGTTGGTGTTGTGAGAGTGTGTTGGTTGGTGTTGTGAGAGTGTGTGTTGGTGTTGTGAGAGTGTGTGTTGGTGTTGTGAGAGTGTGTGTTGGTGTTGTGAGAGTGTGTGTTGGTGTTGTGAGAGTGTGTTGGTTGGTGTTGTGAGAGTGTACCACAAAGACATGGTCCAGTGTATTTTAAAGAGTCTGGTTAGGCGGCGAACAAGTGTACTAAATACAGAAAAAGCAACATCCTACGTGATGATTGGTATGTGTGCATGTTGGATAGTTGGGTATGAAAGAGACACACCAAAAGTGCAGACTTGAAAGATTGTACTGGTAATATTTCCGCAGTGAAATTACAGTAATCGGATCTCAAGCATCAAATATCTTAGGCATTTGTTATACTGGACTGTGCAAGGCAGCATGCACAGTGCTGTGTGGATCATCATCTGCTGTACAAGTAGTTCATGGGCTGCTTACACAAGTGTCCTGGTTCTCAGGTACTCGTGGCCATGCAGACGGTCAGTTTCTTGCGCACTGCTTGCTCGATGTGCGTATCACGCTGAAGCTGCTGCTGACTATCATTGCTGGCAAACAGTTTCTCCATCACCTTGGGCAGCACAGAGCCAAAGATCAACACCAGGGCCTTGGTGACATCTGAATATTCCGCCAGCTCGCTGTTCAATATGACGGTGGCATTGAGAGCTGCTAGGTAAATGCAGGCCCCGAGGAACATGGCGAGGGTCTTCAGAACACCGAAGCGAACTGGGTAGTGTTCACGGAGAATCTGGTCGAACACCTCCGCGGGAACTTTCAACTGTGCCACCCTACGCTTGGACGCCGTGTTTGATCGCAAGTCTGTGGCCACGGCAGAGGCAATTCTCTGCACCAGTTTCTCCTCGTTCATGGCTTTATGGAAATGTGCAATCACGGATGTCTGGATATCATTATAGCCCTCAATCAGGCGATTCCAGAAGTGGAGGAAGTACAGCAGGAAGGAGGCAACCGGAATGAGATAGTCAATGTACTTGTGAATGTTGTAGAATATGCCCACGATGATGAACTTGACGGTGGTGATGATCCACGTGCCCATGAGCAGGGTGAGCAGGATAATGGCTAACAGTGTGACACACCACGCAGCGGAGATTGCAAGTTTCAGGGCACTACGCAGCTTGGGAGTACTAGTGAGCAGTGCAACACTCGCTCCAGCTGCGATGCTCCATCTCATAACCAGATAACCCAGTGGAGTGTTATATATGCACCCCACGAGAATAATGGCGCACAGCAGGGCAAAGTCAACAATTGACAGCAGGGTGCATAGAGCGAGCCAGGGGTAGGAAGTTTTCAATGTCCGCGGCTGAATGCGATCTTGGTAGATGCGGTGTAGCAGTGAGTAACGTTTGAAAACACCCACAACGTGTTGGACAAAGCCTTGTGATTGCTTTTCAGGCAGTATTGGCTCTCCGTCGATGGCATTGCTTGAGGACTGGCTGCTTAACGGAAAACGATATCCGCTGGGAAGGACCGGAAAAAGGGCGGACTTTTGCTCCGCATTCGAGCTGGGTGCTTCTTTCAGCTTCTTGTCGAGCTCCTGCGGGTTAGCCAGTTGACAGAATGCACCGACAACAAAATACGTAACCAGCAGTATATAGTCAGTGCCGGTCAGAAACAGGAACCATGGCGTTGATGCATCCACCTTCACCATGCACTTCAGCTCTCTGTTGGTGCTGGACAAGCGATAGGCAATTGCTCTCAGCGCCACCAGCACCAGTGGAAAGCTCAGTGTGCACAGCCATCGCAGTCGCCTTGGCAGCTGATACTTACTGAACCAGTTGCGCAATGCCATGCAGCCGGGGTTCTCCACGACCAGAGCCGGTTCCTTCAAGAATGGCGAAGTGTTTGTGTTTTGAACAAAGTGCCTGCTCAGCCTGCCATGTAGGGTTGATGACAGAATCTGCCAGGTTGTAAAATTCTTCATCCCAAGAGCCGGACTCAACTCCTGGCCAAAGTCTTCGGAGAAAACGTCGTCTTCAGCCGGCTGAGCTATTAGTGGTGTGCGATCGGAAGTCATGGACGAGTTCAACGCAATACGGTGCTCAGGATCACTGGGCTGCTGGGATGCCGCACTCAGCTCAATGCCTGCCATGCTACCAACGCCTAGCCCCGTTGCTCCATTGTCAGTGGGTGTTGTGTTCTTTGCCGCCGCTGCTGCTTCTCCGCTGGGTTTGGACGCTGGTGCCAGACTAGACATGAGTGGCAATGGTGCAAGCAACATGGCCAGGAACAAACCCCAGAACGTTGCAATCGTGTTGCCGTCGTACCAACGGGAAAACGACATGGACGTCTCACACGACACCACGCCGCCCGGTGCATCGGCATAGCAGCAGGAGAATGCAAAGCCCTCGTTGCTGCTGTTGGCCTCCGTGTTGGTGTTCAGAACGGCAAAGTCTCGCTTGCTGGCGTAGCGTAGCTGACACAGCTGCGCCGTGCCATTCTGGATACCCGGTGCTGCTAAACCAGCATCCTCAGAGAGACTGAGTTCCAGAGTGATTTCCGACTGCTGCGCTTGCGAGAGGTTCCTCCAGCACGCCAGCGAGGAGACGGCGAGGGGAATGTAGACATGTTCTACGTGCAGATGTTTGTTAGACAGAAGTGTTGCCGACAGGGCCACTCTGTCTGGCGGTAGCTTCAGGATAGGGCATGGCTTGCCGCGCCGAGACCAGATCTGCTGCAGTGGGTGGAAGTAGCGGACCGCTATTGTAGCGTTGCCACGCAGCTCAGTTTTACCGGCAGTAAAGTCCCTGGACATTGTGGCATCACATTGTTCCGTGTCAGCCCTGCTCAGGCTGGTGAAGTTCTTGCACTCCTCAAGGCTACCACCCAGTACTCTGTCGACCTCGCATGGATTGCGTGGTTCATACAAGCTAAACTCTATCACAACGCCCGTGATGCTTTCGTCGTCCGTTAGTGTCCGGAATGCCTCGGCGTACTCCCAGCGATCGATTAGTGATGCATTGCACGCCAAGTCAGTTTCATACGGAGGTTCCGACCAGCCAGCACTGTCCCGCAGTGTGTAGCCATAGTCGACAGCCGAAGCGCTTCCCACACTGCTGTGTGTTCCTGGGACCTTACCGGCGCGTTCCGCGTGTGAGCCGAAAGCTCTTCCACTCGATGTGGCACCGGAGAGCCGATCATCCGGGCCAGTAGCACCGATGTCCAGTGGAGCGGCGCGCCGAGAGGCTTCCACCGTGTGGTATGCAGCACATGCCAAGAGAAACAACAGGCCAAACTTGGTGTTAGACGCTTGAGCCCGGGTAGGCGCTGAGCTACTTTGCATTGCTGATTGCAGCCAGATCAGTGCTGCGATGATAACGACATAATAATTATTATGAAGTACTTGTCCACGATGATCGGTAAAGGAGTGCGACTCAAGGAGGTTAGTGGCTTCTAGATCATGAAATTCTTTCGTTTATTCTACACAGACGTCTACATGGTCTACACGAGCCACGATATTCGATAAGTCAGCGACATCGAGTTCTTCAATCCATTCAAACTGTCATTTCTTTAGCCTAGTTTAGGGGCCAGCCTAGTACTACTAGTACTACTAGTAATCATGGTAATATTAGCGCCTGGAGCCCGGAGAATCATTAGTTTGGCTTTTATTTTGCCATGATTTTTCGCAGTGAGACATGTCGGCAGCCTGCCATCGATCACTATCGAATCCATGGTATCAGGTATCATCACACTATCGCTGACTCAGTGACCATGGTGACTGACAGGACGGTAGTCACGATGACGATAGACGGACGCTGCGTCACTCCATGCATGCACTCCGAGTCCGAGTCCGACACTGGCGACAGTCGACACTGGCGAAAGTCATTGACCCATAATAAAGGGCCATATCAGGCATATGCCATGGGCCATGGCGACTGCAAGCTGTAGCATACCGGTAGATCTTGTACACAAAATCATCGAATTATTTGTTTGCATGTATTTTCCATGTACATGTATGATGTGATCATAAAAATAATGATTTACAGTAACTGTTTTCTCTGCGACCATACCCGGCCCAGTACAGACGTTGTATACTAGTACCATAAAGTAGTATATCGGTACCTCGTATTCAGTACTAGTAGTAGTGCACAGTCTGCCTTGTTTGACGACGGCATGCAGCATGCACTGACTACTGTGGGGTGCGGTTGACAGATTGGCGGACCGATGTTGAAGTATCGGTGAATTCAGAATAGCTCTAACTGGTGTTAATGCTTCAGTTCACCTTTTCGAATATCCACGGGACCACGAATGAACAGAAAAACCCTTTGTGACCGGACCAGTGCAGGACGTTGTCGGCGCGACAAGTGGTCGCTGTCATCCCCACACTGATCACAACATAACAGACCGAACAAACTCGAACAATCATACCCAAAAACCCTGAGTATCCATATTCCAGCACATGCATGAAATCCCCAAACTCTGGGTGGACTTGCAAATGATCCTTATAGATGGGCTCACCAAATCTCAGTAAGTGGGTGAGGATAAGTTGCAGAAAACCGGATTGACGGCATCAGGGTGTCCTTCCCTGGATCCAACTGCATTTACCCCTGCGGCCCTGCCCCCAGTGAAGGTACCAAACACACATGTACCAAAGGCGTCGCCGCCTGTTGGGAATCGCCCGTCGCAAGAGAAGCACGCAAATCTGCAAATGCACTGGATGTGCACCCACAGATTTTCTGTTTATAGCAAAGATAGCGGATCTGATTCTGAATGAAACAGATCAAGACAACTGTCTAATCCACACTGGCGAAGCCATGTGAATCGCCCCCCCCCCCCATGCACACCTGGTCTACACCACGCGGAGTCCATCGGAATAACGTTATGAGTGTATATGACGGCCAAGAAAGTTCCCTATGCACACCCTAACCAGTACAGACAGCACGCTGCTTTGATAGAAGCAGACACTAGAAGAGTAGATGCACTGGTAGTAGTACCTTGAAGTGCAATTGGAGTTAGTTTACCAACCAGCCTGGTGCAACTGGGTGCTGGGAACACGAACACACACACACGCACACACACACGCACACACACACGCACACACACACGCACACACACACGCACACACACACGCACACACACGCACACACACACACACACACAGAACATGCACCGCTTCTTTGAATGAAATGGGTTCGACTGGACATTGTACGATCATGTAGAATTATTTCCCCGTAACCATGCGGGCTCCGGGTCCGTATAGCCGATCTGGTGTTCTTTAGTCGTGGTCCTGGCTTCTTCCTGAATTCCTAGTTCGGCTCCCAGATCCTTTAGCCTCAGATCATTGCAGCATAATGTTTTTAAGCGATCCTCACTCTTCGTACGTGGTGTCTGACAGGAGTTGGTTCCCGTCGCAAACCCTGGCGGTCACTCACCCAGAACTGATCTAATTCAGCGGTTCTGTCAAGTGAACGCACATGTTATTCTTCACGCTGTTAGTATGCGTCTTACCATCTGATGCCCGTGGACGTGGTTGTTCGTGTTATAACGTGCTGGCCTGATGCATACATGCTCTTGTGTTGAGGTCGGTCATGGATTCCCCTTCAGCGCTCTTCTTTCCCCTCGCAGCGCGCGAATCCGATCCTGCTGTGCTCAGGAAACAACCGATTGTGACAAAGAGCGTGATCAGGTGCAAAAAAATTCGCCATCAATCATTTCTGACCTGTCAGTTCGTTGACAGGTGGCAAGCGTGCTGGCCCTCTTGCCAACTGTCTCACGAGATCTTGACAACTGTCCTGGCGATAATCTGATACCGGCGTCTATTAGTATTAGTATCCTAGAGCATTAGGCCTCCTTTCACGAACTGCTACTGGAAAGGAGTGACTTGCAGCGAGTGTGTTTTGGCAAAGCGGAGAGGCAACAGAGGGCCTCAGAGGATTTGTCTACTATTCGGATCCACATCGAGTTTCAGAGGATTTCCGTCTACAGCTGCCGTCTTCTTCCCGCTCAGCAAACCTTGACGACACCCACGTAACACACGTCTGGCATGGTATCCAATTTGTACTTCTCGTGAATTTGTTTGTCCATTGGACATTTGGATCACTGTGGTTAATGATCTCCTGATTCTGTACACCTCCGTCTTCCTCAACTGAACAATGTGTCGCCATTCAATGACTTGTTTGGTTTATCGCAGACTTGTTTGCGTCGAAGTTGCCCCATGGCAAGACCCCACCCGATGATTGCTCCGGTTACAGCTCTAATGACACGAAGATGGGGCCTTCAATCTTCATTGATTGACAACAGACTAAATGCCCGACCATGCTCACTGCGATGCAACAGTACCCTAGGTAATCATTGTTCTGCTTGACACTGATGAGTTTGGGGCAGGAGTGTACTTGCGAGTAGTATTACAGGTCGTGTGAAAATCGTCGAGCCGAGACCTACATATCTCACTGATGAACCATTATTCAACACATTGCTGTCAAATTCTACAGAATGGAAAAGAGATGATAGTTTGGACGGGGCATCACTGAGCTTGTTCATATTTCTGACCACATCAATATTTACATGCACCATGACCTTGGTAAGGTGTGAGTCCTGTGCTGTGAGCGACCCCGAAGAAAGGCAGGGTGTTGAACTTCAGATGGCGCTGGACATTGCAATCATCGTAGAACGCTCAGCGCTTTCATCCGTTATAATTATGTGTAGCCGGAGGCCAACGTGAGAACACATCAGTGAAGTCTCCGTCCCAAACACGGTGAGCCAAGACGATTATCGTAATGCAGATCGTGGCTACTTCACAGGTTTTCTAGTGGCAGCAAGCAGGGGTTGCTGGGGACGGCTCATCGAGTACATGAGTCCCCAAGGCTTCTCCAGCTAGGGTCTGCAAAAGGTAGGCCGGATTACTGCTTGCTGATGGGCACTGCTTTGGCGCTTGGCATCCTCTGGCCGGCAGTGAGCGGGTGATGGCGCCTATGGTGGCATCCTGCGCGTGATCCTTGGATGATGGTACGTGGTGGAGAGAGTTCCACTGGCTGGCAAGCAAAGGCGGAAAACCGTAGCGCCTGGGTGCAATGGTGCTGTCTCATGACCAACCAGTCTGTAGCTGTGTGGGCCGCCGCTGACAAGCTAGCCAGAGTCCTCTGAACTCATTCTCGAAACAAGATCATTTCGCTGATTGGTGAGGCTCTGTGGTCACGCTGTGAGAACACAAGTGTTGTGACCACGTGAGGCCGACAGTATAAACACTTTGCCGTTCGCCAGGGAACGTACTGGACCGAAGAATATCCACAATTTAACTTTATGATATGCAGCACGAGTCCAGCGTTCCCTGTCATCGGGCCCCCACTCGATTCCACCCCTAGCACCTTCTAGTTCTAGGAGAATGTATATGTTTTCAACTACTCCTGTCGGCCTCCTACTGGCAAAGCGAAAGAGTAAGCCTTGCTGTGACTGGAATACATCAAGCAGGCACCCTCCTCGTGCGCGCACAACCGCAGCAGCGAAACGGCCCATTCGCCACTGCCCAGTGTGTGTTGCAGCAGCAGCAGCAGCAGCAGCAGCAGCTCAACCTCTAGTATAGGCCTATCTATGCTGTACGAAGGGAGAGCTCGCCCGCTACGCAGCTCTGCTCACAGCCGACACAGGCACGGAGTCCTGGACCGGTCCCAAATTGCCAGACTGTATCTGATACAGTCTAAAGCTAGAAGCAGCACAGCGACTCAGCCGGAGGAACCATGCTACATGTGCGGGCCACAGGGCACAGGGCACGACCAGAGCCGAGCGCTCGGAAAGAGAACCGAAACCAATGCCTTGGCCGTTGGTCAGACCATACCAGGCCTCTTGGCGACCACCGGACCAAGCGCAATAAAACCACTGGCGCTCAGTGCTCTTCCACACACCGTCGCCTTCATCTCAACTGGTAACGTTCTGTAAATACTGTCCTCGAAAGAAAACAAAGAACAGAAGAACAAGAAAGATGGGTTCGGTAAGCGACGCAGAGAAGCAAGCGATTGATGAGAGTCCTACCTCGAGGTGCCGTTCTCAGCCTTCGTGTCAAGCAAGATTCACGTTGGTGATTAGCATCTTGGCCCTCATAATCTCACTGGCAACTCTTACTACTGTACTCGTCTCCCGATACCACGACTACGACGACCATCATCACCTTCGTCCCCAGTGGCAAGGCTACAATCGCACGACCGGCGACCAACTCGCACGACAGCCACAGGAGGAAGTCCCCAGACAACTACAAGCGGTGAGTGAAATTTGATAATGCTTGTGCTGTTCGCTGTGCATGTCTGGTTTTATAACCCCGGTGCGAGAGCTTTGTTCGTGTGTCGGCTGGCCGCAGCGAGGGGAGAACAGGTGGTCGAAGGTGCAACAATGATTCGATTGAGCCTCTTGAACATTTTGTGTCGTCCGGCGAAGCTAGGGGCTTGCCCCCGGAGTTGCACCCCGTTTCCCTTCTGTCAACACGTCCTCAGCGCGTTTTTGCAACAACTGACGAGCTGTTTGCAGTGCCTAGCGTCTGGCCTTTGTTGCATGCTAAGCGTTCACTCGTTCTCCATCTCTAAGGCAACAGTCGACACGACAGACAGCACAGTTCACATCACGCCTCGACCTCCTACTACTACTACTACTCCTAGTCCTCCATCCAGTACAACCCAGTAGCATGTGATGATCACATGACAGATTTCTCCGGGTGCACACGCGCACGGCCCACGGAGGCGTCGGCGGCGCCAAACAGCCTACTTTGGTTGCAGTTCTCGCTGCAAAGTCCAGTGTCTAGTTCAGTCATTGACATCTACTCTAGGTGGCACGACTAGCGCTAGGCCGCCCAGTGGCTAATTAGCACAAGTATGGGTTAGATATGGTAGTAGGCACGTGCTTCCAGCGTGAATTACAATTCTGTGTCATGCACACCAGCCATGTTATGTTGGCGCCAGGCCAGAACTCAGACTAATTAATTAGCTGTAGACAGCTGTACCTTTCCTTCTGCCTTAAGCGGACCTTGCTGGCTACTCAGGGCCTGGCACAGGCAGTTTAGCAGTCCAGAGCTGCTCAGGGCCTGGCACAGGCAGTTTAGCAGTCCAGAGCTGCTCAGGGCCTGGCATAGGCAGTTTAGCAGTCCAGAGCTGCTGTCAGAAAGTGTCACGTTGCAGGTTGTTGTACATGATGGCACTGGTGAGGTGTTTACAACTTTGCCTACACTGAGCTAGTGTCACCGGGTCTGGCAGCTGTCTCTCCAGCAGACATCACATGCTCCTCCTTCCCAGGGCAGTAGCAGTAGCACTGGTTGTATTGTCATACAGGCCCATTGGATAGCTCCCTGCCCTGTCCAACACCACAATGGTTCTGTGCTGCTGTCCTATAGTATAGGCTAGAGTCTGCCATGCAGACTACTCATGCAATGACTATGATTGTACTGCGAGCACATGGACAGTGAGCATCAGGGAGTCGTAAACCAACGGTATTTTACGACTCCCTGGTCAGCATAATATGTACATGTATATCAGGGAGTAGAGAGATGTCATGTATTTTGTTGGAACGTTCTCCATTTGTTAGTGTTTGTCTTCGTTTAACATGTATATTACTCAGTATGTCGTAATTGGACACTGCTCGATTATTCTTACCTTGTGCGATTCACTATTTGTAACGTGGCTCCTCTGCTTCAGTTTTCGTTCTATCTCTCTGGCAGGGGCAACCACCACCCGTCTGGTGGGTGCCAGCATCCTCCGGCAGTTGCGCTGGGACTCTACGATACATTCTTGTTCTTCGATAATTAGAAATCTGCCTTTCTAGTTCTTCGCTGTTTGAATTATTATTTATTTGTGTTGTTTCTTGCGGCACTCGCTTTTGTGTAGATTTGACCTTTTTGCATGTCGGCCGCGTGAGTACAGATGACATCATGCATTATTTTCTGTCACGTGTTTTGCTTTGAGCGTGTCGTTCAAGATGTTTGAACTGCGCCCGCTGGCCGATTTTCTTTGCTTGCTGTTTTCTTTGCCAGTCAAGCGTGGGGACGCTACGGTGTCGTCCTTCTTGGCTGTGTGTCCGGTACGGGGCCGGGTACGTGCGTCCCCAGCTCTCCGTTCTTTGTTCTTTTTTGGGTTAGATTCTTCAATGGTGTTTTTGAGAACATGTTTGGTAATACAGTCTTCTAAATAGTTCGATGCTTCCAATGGTTGTGTCTGATGCAAGTGTGGATTTGCGAGGGAACCGGTGAAACATATTTACTACTCTCTGACAACAAAAGTTCACTACGACGGGGAAACTTACTTCGGTTGTACACAACCCGTCGAACATTCAGCAGTATGACATGAGTTCCCTTCTACCAGAGTAGGGCCCGGATACGGCTTGATATTCTGTTTAGGCTGTCTTTTCCTCTCTTGCCGTCTTGGTCTTGCTCTCATCTACTTATCTCTCATTTGTGATTATTCCTGCGGCTTCCATGCAATACCTGGGTCTCCATGCATAGCCTGTGTCTCCATGCAATACCTGGGTCTCCATGCAATACCTGGGTCTCCTTGCAAAGCGATGCAATACCTGGGTCTCCATGCATAGCCTGGGTCTCCATGCTATACCTGGGTCTCCATCCAAAGCCTGGGCAAAGCCTTTGTCCGCAGGAAACGCTCATTTTCAACTGACACTATCAATAATGGTATCATTATGCTGTAGTTTGAGGGGGTGCAAAGGAAAACTTGTGACTTTCAAAGAAAATTTGACAATACCCGTACCAAGTTGTTGCATACTGGGGGATGAGATCGACGGCAACACAACACATCTCAAGATACATGACATTGTATTAACCTAGCTGGCCTGTAGTGTGTACGGTTGTAACTTAGAGTTTACACGTGGCGTTCAAAAACTGATTCAGCTTGCCTTTGTGGATTTTTCTCTTGTAATATACACAGCGTGTGCTCACTAAACGGTCGCAGGCAGCGCCACAGCAGAGTACATGTAATATGAGTCGCTGGAGGGAGGTTTGCCACCGCGCACCAAGACACCACCATCACACGATCGCCACCAAGGTCACCCTAGTGCACAAACGACCCTACGTAAACGGCTTGCGTGAGTACATACATATAGACTTATGCGCAGTCATCGCTGTACGATTGTATGTTTTACAGGGGATGGGGGAGGATAGGTCTTTGAAGCAGTGTTCGGAGTATGCGTCTAAAAGCATGCGTGTATATAGAGCCGTCCATGACGAGGGAAAGACCTACACTTGAAAGTACACGCGTATAGTGTACACTAGACGCATACAGTTGTGGATAACAGAGTGCCACCAGGCCTCTGACCCCTTCCCCAAAGGTCGGATCACCCTGTCTCCTCACAGAGGAAGAAATACACATAGAAATAATGAAATGTACATGTACATATAATGACATTATAATTGTACTGTAGCTATCATGATAAACAATTCGCTGTTCGCTTGAGACTCAGTTGGACTGTGTTTCACTTTTCAGCATCCATAGGAACCCCGCTCCCATCCATATGCATAATGTATTCGTACGTAAATGTATGAACTGTCCACCATGCCTTCTGTGTTATGATGCAAGACATGTTCTTGGCTTACAGAATTTTTGTGCTGTCCATCTCTGCAGAAAATCTCATGTGGAGTTATGACCAGCAGGACTGTGTGGCCACCTGTATGGGGATAAGCCGCGACGACAGCAGCAGTGTCGTCATTCCGAAAGATGGCGTATACATGATCCGAGTCGACCTGCGAGCGAACGAACCCTTCGCCAATGAAATGATAGTAGATGTCCGAGTGGACAATTCCAGGAGCCTGGGTATTGTGCGGTTTCCAAACACTGCTCTATCCAATGCTTCTGGTAACATTGAACATGCCAAGATGACGATGAAGGAACCGCCGGCACATGGCCGAAACAACAACATTGAGCCGCCAAGAGCCGCTGGTCTCTCCGAGCATCAAACACGCTCCCTGTACGTACCTCTCTACTATGAGAAGCTTGAGTACTTGAAGGCTGGCAATCGCATTTCGGTGCGAGCGCGGTGGTTTCAGGTGCTGTACAATCGGCACGAGGTACGACCAATCCATCTGGACCAGACGACAGGGAACACTAGGAGCAACACACTGCAGATATTCCGCGTCTAGATCCCAGTTGGAAATGTGGTCGACGAGCAGACCCACTCACATGCCCTACACCTTGCCAGTTTAGTGTCAGCAGTGCCAGTGGTAGTGAGCTCAGATGCCAGCCAACAATCATATCCGACCTCTGACTAAAACAAATTCCATTTACGATGCATCGAGGATTCGAGATAGATGACGACCGCATTGAACATGAACTTGGGAACCCTTTGCTTGCCAGCTACAATTACTGGCCTTATTTGAGCTCACGGAACCGCACTTTTCTATTTTGTTTTTGTACTATCTTACTTAGATTTGTCCGCTTTCCTTGTCAAACACAAAATATGTCTCCATGCTGCGATTGTTCAGTAATCAAACACGTTCAAGTAAAGTGAATATCAGGTGGTCTGGCTAGGAAGCATTCTATTTTTAAAGTAGGTGAATGCATTTTGGAATGCAGTCTTGAGAGTGACATTCCAGCTGGCTTGAGCAACCCCTAACCATACGACATGCATGTACATGTACCTGGCGTTGATTAACCTTGATCAGCTGATGATATCTGTTATTCACTAGTTTTGGCTGCATCGCAGAAGTCCTTGACATTTCTCTCTACATAAACTTGCGTCTTCTCGTCATGCGCCTGCTGTATTTATGATGAGGATTTTATTTTAAACTCGGTTGGTGAACCACTATAGTTAGGATAAAGAAAGGTAAAGGACAACAATGTTACGAATGAATGTCTCAGTACTCCTTGTCAGTTTTGTGCCATTTTGTCGCACTTGCTGACTGTATAAGATCTAGTTCGCTCCTGCTCTTGTAGCAGTTGAGCACTCTTGCGTGGGGTAGTGCCTTTGCTGTTTGCGTTATGCAGAGCTCACTGACTTGTCAGTTTGAGCACTCTGGCAAGGTACGTTCGGGCCTGATTGGAAATTTTTATTTCCATTGCTATCAGGTTCGGCCTCATTTCCTCTGTGCTGCGCTGATGAGTTCAAAAAGAACGAAACAGTATGCTGTCCGCAGATTGAGTATTTCGCTCCTGCTCTTGTAGCAGTTGAGCACTCTTGCGTGGGGTAGTGCCTTTGCTGTTTGCGTTATGCAGAGCTCACTGACTTGTCAGTTTGAGCACTCTGGCAAGGTACGTTCGGGCCTGATTGGAAATTTTTATTTCCATTGCTATCAGGTTCGGCCTCATTTCCTCTGTGCTGCGCTGATGAGTTCAAAAAGAACGAAACAGTATGCTGTCCGCAGATTGAGTAAGATCTAGTTACGTTGGTGGACAGTTTATCATAACTCGTAACATTTTTGTCCTTTACCTTTCTTTATTTTATTTTAACCACATACTTTAATAGTGGCAGTTGTGCTATTGACCGTCATCTGTGCATTTGTATCTGCACAACTCCGCAGCTTTGTCAATACTGCTCTTGGCCAGCGGCTGACTGGTTGCATGCGCTGCAGCAGTGCAATCCCTTTTTACCATGCCCTGATGTTCGCCGTCAGGCAAGAGAGTGTAGTGAAGTTTTCTTGCGGGTGAAATGTAGTGATTCAGTATCGGGAGAGTGTTTTGCAACATGAGGCCATGAGGTGGGGGGTCAGATTAACCCAAATGTACACTTCGTGAACATGTGGGGTCATGAAAACCATCTGAAAAATGCCGTTTTCCTAGGAAACTTACGCCCGCTTCAATATGAATAAATTATTTGTCTAGTTTGGGCATATTATTGTATTCTACAGTGTACCCGATGCTGTACATGTGTATGTGAATCGTTTTTAAAGATACACGGCGTTAAAATGCTGATGTGTACTGAATCTACAGATAGCTATTAAACTCCTTATATTATTGGGTTTGCGTCGTTCTTGCATTTTGTCGGTATTTCCTCTGATGGATTCTTTCTTTTTCGCTGTTTCTGTGAACCCTTGCGCGTTTGGCCAATTGATAGAATAGAAACTCTTATTGTGGCGGACGCACTGTGTTTGGGAACCGTGCTCCTTACTAAAATCTCCATTGTTGGTAGAACCCTTGTCCGGGCCCAACATTTTTCAACAAATAGTTGCTTTGTCGACTGAACTGTGCTCATTTCTGCTGGAAGTTCGTTGTGAAGGGATCAGAAAATTATCTTCCGCAGAACAGCTGGTAAGTTCAGCACCTGACTCCAAATCCTCTTGTCTCAGTATTCAGCATTGCGATTAATTTTCCTTCCTTGCTCTTCAACTGCTTGTTCTTCAACTGCAAAAATGAGACAGCCCGATGTACAACGGATCCAGTGATACGAGAGCCGTATGATTCAAATGGTCGCAAGACAAGGGTTCTACCAACAATGGAGATTTTAGTGAGGAGCACGGTTCCCAAACACAGTACGTCCGCCACAATGTAAATCTGTACGTTCTCCTAGGAGTTGGCTGAGGCCAGGGCTGGCAGGGTATAACAAGGTTTAACTTCGCCAGTTGACATCGGAGGTAAGAAGTAACCACAGCTTGTTAAACTTTAAGGTCAAAAGTATTACACCGGAGGATGTACCCAGTCAAAAGTATTATACAGACATAGCTAGGAACCATGTGTGATGAAATTGAGGCAAAAATTATAGAATTGAAGATTAAAAAGCAGTAGAATATCAAGAGTTTGTTGAAAACTACTAGATTATGGCATAATCTAGTACTTTTCAACAAACTCTTGATCTTTTGTTTCGTTATTGTTGATGTTATTGCTGTTGTTACATTGTAACAACAAAACAAATTCTCAGCTGTACTATTAAAAACTACAGCCAACGTCTAGCAGGGGTGTTCCGACGTGGTGATGGCCTACCCATGGCCGCGCCGGGACATCACCAACCTCGTCTACAGAGAGCACGTTCTCACGACAGTGTCATGGTGGTGACAGTAACTGTTGTCAGTTGACGAGCTGAGAGATGGACACCATAGGCAGAAGTTGGAAAAAGAAAGATAAAGAGTATAATACTCATAAAAAGGACACACTTCAGAATAAAAGAGTATAAAAGAGAATAGTAAAGTCGGCGGAATAGCGCGAGCTCCGGTGTGGGGAGCAAACCTTTCTTACAAATCATCGCCGAAGTCGCAACCACTACTTCGTACTGTTGTGCCCAGCGCGGGCTTGCGACTAGTTGGTTTGGAGGTGACAGCGTTGCGAATGACCGAGGGTCCTCGACGTCTGTCTCACCGTCCAGGAGCGACACTGACTCACGCTGCTATCTGGTGTTCACGAGGTGTTTATCGCGCTGGAAGCGGAGCGTCTCTGTAAGTTTGTATCCCTGGTGATGTTTGTGCCTGGAGAGCACTATATAAGTGGTGCTCTTCAGGCACAATCTTCCTCAGCCTACTCAAGCTCAACTGATGAGGGGTGAATTCCCCGAAACACTGTGTATTGAGCAGGGAGTGGTGCTTTCTTGCAGGTTTGCCGAGTCGAAGGTTCGATGGACTTCTCGTGTGCTCTGGATGGCAGTCGTGAGTCAGTCAAGTGTCAAGTAAAGTCGGCGGAATAGCGCGAGCTCCGGTGTGGGGAGCAAACCTTTCTTACAAATCATCGCCGAAGTCGCAACCACTACTTCGTACTGTTGTGCCCAGCGCGGGCTTGCGACTAGTTGGTTTGGAGGTGACAGCGTTGCGAATGACCGAGGGTCCTCGACGTCTGTCTCACCGTCCAGGAGCGACACTGACTCACGCTGCTATCTGGTGTTCACGAGGTGTTTATCGCGCTGGAAGCGGAGCGTCTCTGTAAGTTTGTATCCCTGGTGATGTTTGTGCCTGGAGAGCACTATATAAGTGGTGCTCTTCAGGCACAATCTTCCTCAGCCTACTCAAGCTCAACTGATGAGGGGTGAATTCCCCGAAACACTGTGTATTGAGCAGGGAGTGGTGCTTTCTTGCAGGTTTGCCGAGTCGAAGGTTCGATGGACTTCTCGTGTGCTCTGGATGGCAGTCGTGAGTCAGTCAAGTGTCAAGTAAAGTCGGCGGAATAGCGCGAGCTCCGGTGTGGGGAGCAAACCTTTCTTACAAATCATCGCCGAAGTCGCAACCACTACTTCGTACTGTTGTGCCCAGCGCGGGCTTGCGACTAGTTGGTTTGGAGGTGACAGCGTTGCGAATGACCGAGGGTCCTCGACGTCTGTCTCACCGTCCAGGAGCGACACTGACTCACGCTGCTATCTGGTGTTCACGAGGTGTTTATCGCGCTGGAAGCGGAGCGTCTCTGTAAGTTTGTATCCCTGGTGATGTTTGTGCCTGGAGAGCACTATATAAGTGGTGCTCTTCAGGCACAATCTTCCTCAGCCTACTCAAGCTCAACTGATGAGGGGTGAATTCCCCGAAACACTGTGTATTGAGCAGGGAGTGGTGCTTTCTTGCAGGTTTGCCGAGTCGAAGGTTCGATGGACTTCTCGTGTGCTCTGGATGGCAGTCGTGAGTCAGTCAAGTGTCAAGTAAAGTCGGCGGAATAGCGCGAGCTCCGGTGTGGGGAGCAAACCTTTCTTACAAATCATCGCCGAAGTCGCAACCACTACTTCGTATAAAAGAGAATAAAAAGAAAAATTCAGAACAAAAGCTATTACTGCAAGTGTACGAGGACTGAGAATCAAGAAGACATCCAGGAGTGAACAAAGAATACACGACTGACGGTGCAACAACAAGAAGTCTTAGGCAACTCCCCTAGAATACAGAGGGTCAGAACCGGGTCCAACGTTTTAAATACCTTTCCAGATCCTGCCATCGCTGCTACATCCGCAACCTCCGCGCCACGATATCTCCCACAAACCCTCGCCTCCCATCCCTCCCTGTGCTCATTCGTCAACAACGAAACCCTATAGCAGCGCCCGGGTCATACCTTCGAAGATAATGGGCCCCACTGGTCGGACAAGCACCTCTCCGGCATCTATTGGTAACGTCTTGAACCACCACTTCGGCAGTGCAGGCGTACAGGTTGACCCTGATGCTCCCATTCCCACTATTTCCCCCCTACCTCCACCAGCAACTACATTGCACTCCCTGATCATTACCTCATCGACTGTTTACAAGTATATCGCAAGGCTGCCTCTGAACAAATTCCCCGAAGCTGATAGGATCACCAATGAGATTATCAGAAAACTGAGGTACTCAAATGCCCGCCCACTCTCTATTCTTTTTAACCTATCCCTCTCCTCTGCCACATTCCCGTCACGATGGAAGTC